CCTACTCTCAGATTAACATAGTAACATTCTGATGTAAAGACAACTGGTTACTTTGCTCATTAAATAAGTACAATAATCCTTTGAAGATACTGTATTACAATAAATTTGTGGTAATTTTTCTTCATCAATTTCTGTCTCGTAGAAAATGCTTGTTGTTTGAATATTTATGTGTTTAGAATGTTAAGAATGATATCAGATAGTCATTTATACCAATATCTTTGTAATATTACGGTCATTAAATTATCTCTCATGCGATGCGTTAAAGTAAGATTTAAACACTGCTTTATTATTTTCAACATTCTTCAATATCCTGTAAATTTCTGTTGCAGTGATTTGATATCACTGGATCGGAGTTTGCCAGATCATCGCCACAAACAGTGCCATAAAATCAGTTATTCTGATGATTTACCAGTTGCTTCTGTGGTGATTATTTTTACTGATGAAGCATGGTCACCTCTAATGCGAACAGTGCATTCCGTAATCAATAGAACACCACTTAAACTGCTACAGGAAATCATTCTAGTCGATGATTTTAGTCAGAGAGGTTTGCTTTTTATTTAATTATTTATTATCAAGTGCTTCCCAAAAATGTGAACCATAAGATAAACATGCCCGCTGAAAATTTAAATACAAAAAATCAATAGTTCTTTTTCCTTCTATCAGTGTGTTTATTTTTTCTTTGACTAGAAAAAGCAGTAATATTTTTAGGATTAAAAAAATGATTAGTGGAATAAGTATTACTGTGTATAGCTTTGTATTTATATCTGTCTTGCAATCATATTCCAGTAGTTCGGTCGTTATTATGAATAGTTAAAGGATTGTGCATGATATAAAGTATAACTTACTTTAAGTTATTAATGAAGATTTTTTTAAAAATTCTTTTCCATTTGCATAAATTATATGGGATCTTACATAAAATTTGAAGGACGTGAATTTCTTGATAACCTTTTATACTTTTGAATGGGATTTCATCCACTTCAAATCTATATTATTTAGCACTGATATAAAATTCTGTAAGCAGCAGCAGCAGCAGCAATTTGACTGTACTTTTAGATGAGTTAAAGGAAAAGCTAGAAGAATACATTAAACGGTTTGGTAACAAAGTACGTTTGGTACGAGCGCTAGAACGGCAAGGTTTGATACGAGCGAAATTACTAGGTGCAAAAGAAGCAGTTGGTGATGTATTAGTATTTCTTGATTCTCACTGTGAAGTAGGAGAAGGATGGTAAGTTCTTTTATTATATTCATTTGATTAAATTTTATATAATTTTATAATAACAATTATAATAAAAAGCAGTAACATGCTGTGTAGCATTTGTTTTGCAATTCATTTTTTTTCTAGGTTTACTAAATCTAGTCATCCAAATACACTTGTCTTGAAAATTTTTTTTTTTGTTCATAAAGAACGTTTTGTAACGGCTCAAGATATTTATCACTTTGAATAAATGAGCAATTGCATTCTGCCTTAAAAAGTTAGACTCCTTCCAATTCTTATTCAAGATAATTGTTACCTATAAAAAGAAATTTATATTTTACGAGATTCAGTTCTCTACTTCTTATAGGTTAGAGCCACTGTTGGCACGTATCAAAGATAAACGGTCAGCTGTTCTTTGTCCTATAATTAATCATATATCAGCAGAAACATTAACTTATTCGGCTAATGACCGCCCTACGAATGTTGGTGGGTTTTCGTGGAGCCTTCATTTTTTGTGGGATCCTATGCCGAAGGAATATTTCGATGCAGATCCCACGGAACCAATCAGGTTGGCCAGGCTTTTCAAAATTCCAATTTTTTAATGTAAAATTTTTTCACATTGTACATCAGCAAGATTTCTTATGCTTCTTGGTTTTGTTGCCAATGGCTTCATTTTTAATGTTTTCATTGTGATAACTTTTCAAAAGAGTGCAGAATGGTTTTGTAAACAAATCTTATTCGACATTTTCAGGTCTCCAACGATGGCAGGTGGTCTTTTAGCAGTAGATAGGTCATATTTCTTCGAAGTTGGTGGATATGATCCTAAAATGGATATATGGGGTGGAGAAAATCTTGAAATGTCATTTAGGGTTCTTTTTTAAAAATGTCATTTTTTAAAAATCATATTGTAATAGTGCAACATCGAAAAGACAAGCATTAGTGGATAAATTAATAATACTGTACTATTTTAGGTTTCCATCAATTTGTCCATCAGATTACTTATTGATTGTCTTAGGTGTGGATGTGTGGTGGAAGTATTGAATTTATTCCTTGCTCACATGTTGGCCATATATTTCGAGATGGTCATCCTTATAATATGATTGGGCCTGGTGACAATAAAGATGTGCATGGTACTAATTCAAAAAGACTTGCAGAAGTGTGGATGGACGATTACAAAAAATTTTATTATATCCATCGATTAGATTTGAAGGTACAATTTGTTTATGGAATGATGTCATAATTTTGAGTAGTCGCAAGTTGAATTTTTTTTGGATGAGTTTTTGATTTTATTTGGTCTTTATTTTCTGTTAGCTTGAAAGGTATGCTTTAGAATTAGATAGCATGAATATTAGTGGTAGCAAATAGAGTGAAAAGATTAGATAATGCAAATTGGAAAAGGGATTCCGCAGCCATTTAGTAAATTTTTGAAAAATTGATTAACTTTAGTAAAAATATGTCATTTTCTACTTAACACATGGGCACATATGTGAGATGATTTTGTTTTACAGGGAAAAGATGTTGGTGATCTCTCGGAAAGAAGAGCTTTGCGCCAAAAATTGAGATGCAAATCATTTAAGTGGTATTTGCAAAACGTTGCAAAAAATAAATTTGTTTTAGATGAAAATGTTGCAGCATTTGGCGCGGTAAATTAATTTTTTAAAGTATAAATGAACTTAAGTTGATACTTTATACTATTACAATAGATATTGAACAAACGGCTTCGGTCTTGCCACTGGATTTGATATTCAGTGCTTAGCGTGAAAAATTGTCGTTAAGAGCACTTTGGGTTATCACATTATATGACAGGAATTAATATATCTTCAATTTTAGCTGCGAAATCCATCAAGTGGACTTTGTTTGGATACACTACAACGTAATGAAGATGAAGTTATACCTCTTTGTGTCTTTTCATGTCAGAATGGTAAAAGCCAAACTCAAGTATGTTTTGAGTTTGAATATAATCCACAACGAGTTATTGTTCTTGATTGAAATGTTCTGAACAAGAATTAGTTAAATAATCAAAGATTGTAGAATAATTACGCAGTATGAATGTTGCTTACCATACCTGAAATAGTCCATGTTTATAGTTTCATCAGAGTAACATCCTGCTGTCTTAGTAATTTTCAAATGATCTTAGGAATGAGACTTGCAAGAAAATATATAAATCAGAAATACTATCTAAGGTAATTTTTTTTTTCCATCACTGCTCCAGGAATTTAACGTAGCACTAATGTGTTTTTTGCATTTAGATATTTTCTTTGACAAATGATGGAATACTGAGACGTGAGTTAACTTGCGCAAAAATTGATCGGGATACTGTAGGAACTAATAAGACAACTGTTCAATTAGTGCATTGTGGAGAAAACGAGAAAGAAGACAAATGGATTTTGAAGGTGATTTTTTTGTTTATAATTGAATTTTCGCAACTTAAAACCTGTTTTAATATAATGTGAGATACATATATCTTAGTTTTATTTGTCTTTTAGACAAGAATAATTCAAAATTTTTAGGATGGAAAATTGCGAAATGAGAATATGGATTTGTGTTTGGATGTTACAGGACTGAAGAATAATGATAATATCATTGCATGCAGTTGTATAAGCGATTTAGATACACAAAAATGGGAAATTCTAAAGGTCGATTTGTAATTTTACAGTATAAAATTCATTTTACTTTACTTCGTGGTATATTTTTCATGGACCATGTATTTTCTTTTGAAGAGTTGTCTTTCATCTCAGTTCATTTATTCGTATGCTTTTAATCTTTTCATTTTTCATAAAAGTTAATTATAGGGTTTAGCGTGAAATAAATATATGTAATGCCCATTTAGTCAGAAAAATGCAAAGGATGCGTTTATTAATGTACTTTCCATTTTAAATATTCGATAATGATCTAATTATATTAACTATCGTTTGGCATCACGTTTGCACACCCTTACTGTTTTTACTTCTACAAATTTCTTAAGTGTATTATAATTCTATCATTACATGACTGAAGTCTCCTTCTATATATATATCAAAATGCAGGTATACTAATTATGTGGCAGAATTCAATTTGGTGTAAAACTGGTATTTTGCATCTTCTTTAAATTTCGCATATTTTTATGCTGTGATAATAGCTTTGAAAAAAAGAAAGAATTCTGGACTATTTGTTGTTTAGTATTTCCTTAACTTGATCATCGATCTCTGTAAGGTAACCGTGATTTTACTTCCATTAGGGTTTCTTAATGTTTAGATAAATTTAGGTTCTTCAATAACTTTTTGTAGGGAATGTAACATATGTTTGCTGTATTCGTTATAAATGATGTTAATTTTGTTTGTTAGGTTGTAACACTTGATTATTGCACTTTCTTTCCAAGTGATATATGAAGGCTTTTTGTAGCTTTTCTTTTATGCTGGAAATATAATGTTTGGAAAAAGCATTTGTTTGATTTTTTGGAATTTTCCATCGAAAAGCTTAAGGAGGCATATGGTTTTACTCTATGAAGCCTATACTGTACTTATATTATGATGACGTACCCATAATTAATAACAGCATAAAGATTAACATTATCGACTAGACATATTCATTGAAGGAAGTTCGATTCAGTATGACATGCATACATTTTGTGATGTTACGTTTCATTTAGCCTGCAGATGTTAAGCCTTCCCAAATTTTATAAAATAAGGCACAACAATTACAGTTATTCTTAACGGAGGTGGCAAGAGTGCGAATTTTGTTTATATTTGTTACGAGGTTTTTATGAGTTTGTATTTGTAGGATTGCTGCAATTTGCATTTTGATTTAATTTTTGAACTTTATTGGAATGGCAGATGATGAAGGAGAAGCAACGGATACAGTACGGGTGAAATATCCGCTCACCGTGCAGTACTGTGGAGGTTGTTTGTTTCTTCTAATGATGCTAATGAAAACTTTAGATTCAGTGTCATTCAGGAATTGAGGTTTTCAGTTTCATTTTCGTGAAGAAAAAGTTCTAAATTTTTTTTTCTTGAACTGCAAATTGTTATTTGTTATTTTTTTTTTCTTTTTTAGTATGCAGTATGCCGCTTGAATATTGCGAATACAGTGGAATGACTGATAAATGTTTAAGTTGGCTAGAAGCTAACTTACCATCCGAGTTCGAGAAATTGAATGTGGCAGATCGGAAAGAGTCAACAGATGCCGAAAAAAAACATCAAAAACGAGGTGGCAAGGTGAATTTCATCCTATTTGCGATTTCATTTGTGATACAAGTTTGGGAATTTTTTTGGTTGCTTGAAAGGAGAAAAACAGGAAATCCAGCGAATATTCTAACTCATATTATTATCTGTCTACAAAGTAAGTGGATGTGCAGGGGACAGTGGGTATTTAGTGAATGAATTAAAGTAATGATGAGATGACTTGTTTGATTAGATAAGATTAGCAGTTGCATGACATATCCTTGTTATTGCTACCTATTCTCTTATTTTTATTGGTATATTTCGTTGATCTGGAACATTGTAGGATTAATTAACTGTTATGATAATAATTTAAATGTTTACAAAAATTGCATTTGCACTGTAGTACTTTGATCCGGAAAAATGTTACGGTTTGGTATTTAAAATTGGGTTTTTTCAGGGTTCCAAAATTGTAAGCGAAAAAAATGCAGCAGTAAAAAAGAATGTGATAACAAAAGTTACATTACAACGAGTAGCTCGTGGAAAAAACAAATTTGTTACAGTAATTAAAGGACTAGCTTCATTTGGTAACTTTGTTTTTGTTTTTTTTTTTTTCTTTCTCATCCCATTAAGTTTGATTCTAACTTATAATTCTATAGGTACAGATACAGTCAGGATTACAGAAGCAATTTTACCTGATTGTACCTGAGAGAAAATTACATTTAAAAAGTAAAAATTTCTTCAAGAAAAACTAACGTGAAAGAAAGATCGCAAGGTATTTCGGTACACGTTGACATTTTATTCTTTGTTGCTCGCATTTTATTGCGGAACATTTGGAACTACATCTTCAACTGATGTAGATAGTTGGATTTTCTGTTTGCTCATTTCAAATCTAACATGTAATCGATTTTGCTTACAGCTTTAAATTTAAATGCTGTAATTCTCCCATATTAACTTCTATACTGTACAAATTGTTAGTTTAGTTGTAATGGAAATTTCATCTTCAAATTAAGTAATTAGATTTTCTTGAGTTTATTAATTTATTTGTAGATGTGGATTTGAAAGCTACCGCTAAATTATTTGCTGGACGTTTTGCATGTGGTTCATCAGTAACAGCAGCTGATGAAATAGTGGTGCAGGGTGATGTAAAGGATGAAATACTGGAGATAATAGGAACAAAATGGCCATATATTGATTCGAATTTAATTGAAGATCTTGGTGATCAAAAACGTTAAGTATAAGTTGCCTTTAGGTGCGCTACTAATATATTACATTCATTTTCGTCATCAGTTTTCTGCATGCTCATGTATGGCGTCATCGACAATAATTTAATAAATGTTGTGTAAAGATTTATAAATATTTTCTCTTCTAAATTTCGTCAACACTCTGGGTGTTTAAAATGTATTCTTGTGCTCACTTGACCACTGTATTATTCGTTTTTATATTGCATAGGTAGTAAAGATTCTCATCCATATAAATGAAATTATTTTCAAGTATGTAACATCAATAATTTGAAGCCATTTACGTTATATTGAAAATAATATCGTCATAAAGGAGGAAGAGATTTCACCTGTTATACTCTAATTTGGATATTGTATCTTACAAATATAGATAGATGCTTTCGTCTTTATATATTATCAGCACGCTATTCATATAGAATGGTTAGCTAAAATTAGCTTTGATCTCAACAAAGCAAGTGAGAAATATCCTTTATGATGACGATATTACTTTTTTTTTCGTGATGCTTGTAAAAGTTTTTACGAGGTTAACTGCTGGTCTCAGCATTTTTTGTTGTTATTTTCAAATTCGAAACTTCATATATATTTACTGTTTCTCCATGTCTTGTCTGTATGTAAAATGTAAAATGCAACTAATTTTGATTTAATAAAATTTGACGAACTGTTCTTGAGCTTCAGAAGTTTATCGTATATTTTCGGTATGCTGCAAATTAGTTATTTTCCTCATTTTATTTGTAAAATTTCCGCTTTCATCGATTACCCTTATCTCAGGATTTAAATATATAGTGTCAGAGAGAGATCCAACTCATAAAAGTGTTTTTTTTTTTTACATAACAATTGAAAAGTCTTTTCTTGGAAATCATTAACGAGGTTGAACTTGCAATATTAGATTATAGAAATAGGAATTAAAGGTTTGTTAATTAGTTTTTTAAATGAAGTCATTTATATTACGTGGACAGTGAATTTCTGTTATTAAAATGTGTTATTTTGATTTTCTGATTTGATTTTTCTCTGCCTTTTTACTCATCAAAGATATGAAAATTATCTTTTGGATGAATTTCTTACTATGTTAAAAGGATTGGCCAGCAAATTGACATGATCAAACTGAACAGTCATGCGCAAAAAAAGGGATTGTGAATTTTTTAGGAGTGAGCAGTGCATAGTTATGTTTGATGTTTCTTGCTTTTAATGATCTGGTTTTTTCTTTTTTAATAATCGGAGCTTGTAATGATTTGGTTAAAAAATTCAAAAATTCTTAATAGGATAGTTCTCATCTGATTCAAATTATTTTTAGTGTTTCATGTTAACTGCTTTCTAAAACGCTGATTGTTTGATAGTTAATTCCTTTTTTCTTCAATTTTGGAATCTTTGGTTTAAAAAATTTTGTTAGCTTATGCATCTGTAAAGACTGACAGTATTTTTATTGTCTGATCGCTTCATTTAATCGTGTTCGAAGTTTATATATTTCAATTTTTACATAATTTCTATTTGCAGCATTCATTCATTCACTTCGTTTGTATGACTTATTGAGTAATGCTCAATGTCTGACCAAATATCCACATCTGTGGATACTAGTAAAATGGTTCGTTTTTTCTTTCTTTCGTTGTCATGTTTTTTCTTTTTTTTTTTTTTTTGACAAATTCTCTGACAATGCTATGATAATTTTTGACTGAATATGTTTATTTGCCACACATCCTCAACTTATTTTAATCTGTGTGTGTGTGTGTGTGTGTGTGTGTGTGTGTATGTGTGTATGTGACTTCTTAGTATTAAATTTTTAAACATGTAAGTTTTGTTAATATATCAAATTATCTCTTAATACTCTTTTTAATGAAAGTTGATTGTATAAAAGATCTCTTTCGGCATATTTTATCACATAGAATTTCCAGGAACTCTTTTTTGAAATATTGCGTCGTAAAACGCATATTTTTTGTGATGTAAAAGAAAATGCGACAGTTTTGGAACTTAAGAAAATAATTGAAGGTATTCTAAAGGTGAGCTGATTTATTTCGGTTTTGTTTTACTTGATTTCAGAATATATTATAACTGGGGATTTTAATAAAAGAGATTTAATATTTTAACAAAATTAATAAAAGGTTTTACTTAATTTTTACTCATTAATTATATTTTTAGGTGCCAATCAATAAGCAGATTTTGAAGAAGCAAACCGAGGATGGTTTCTGGCATACAATTGAGGACCGTCAAACTCTTTCGGAGTGTGGTTATACCCCTCAGAATTCTCGTGCTCAAGCACCGGCACCGCTAGCACTTGTTGTTGCTAACGGTAAGGGTAGAATAATTCATAAAAGAGATTTTCAGTTTCATATATATATATATATATTTAATTTTCATAATCATATAAGTGCTTTCGAAAAAGTTTTTCCTTTTCAAATAAGCAGCGAATTTAGTAGACTTTTAGTGCTTTAAAAAAAAAATTTAGTTACAGGAGTATCTAGATTGTTAGAAGTTTTGTCAATTCATTTGTTGATAAGGCGATAAAATAAGGTGTTTCATTTTAAAAACTAGGAAAAGGCTAGATCAATTTTAACTAACTGAATCAAATCCTTTTTTTTTGTGTGTGTTTTCGTATAACCATTCAGAATTGTGGTGATGTTGAGGTTTGCTTCCTGCTAGAAGTAGGAGATAACTCACGGTGTCTTCACAGATATTTTCATCGATAAATGGAACACTTCGATGAATGACATATCTTTTTCTGTCTTATTTAGTGATTTTACTAATCTTGTTTGCAATTTCAGAAGAAGAGGACGTTATCATTGAACCTCTATCAATTCCACCACCTGTACCAGATGCAATGAGGCCTGAACAAGCCGCTACAAATGAACAGTGAGCCTGTATCTTCTTTAACAGAATTTTCTTCATGTAAACTACGATTGTGTTTTATTATTTTATGATATTTGTAACTGCCATTTGTTTGGCTTTCAAGATTTCATTGTCTCCAATAAAATATATTTACCACTTCGGTGGAATTTTTTGTCTGCAACAATGTATTCCTCCACTACTGTATACTTGGAAATATGTAAAAATGTTATTTGGAAGGAAGTATAATTTTGCCCTTACGAATGTACCCTGATTATCATTCCTTTTATAGATCTATGTTATATTGAATTATATTTCATTTTTTGAAGAAAAAATATTTCCTCGAATTTTTGTTTTTCTATTTATCCTCTCCCATTTTCACTATCTGACCATATTGAACATCTTTCTACTAATCCTACGACTAAAAGATAAGTTTGTTACTTTTGTTGGGGAAATCGTTGCTATTTCTCTTTTGTCGATAGTACTTCGGATTTCAGTCTTTTTCATAATATTCGATGAATTTTATAAGTTTGAAGTCGCACTGAAAGAAGGCATGATCAAAGGGAAACGAAAATTTGGGGAAGCATTTGGAGATGGTGAGAATACTACCACAAATTACTTCCATCAACATTTCGAGCAAACTTTAGATCCAGTTGTTGCGGATGGATTATTAGCATCAACCAATGAATCGAAGCGTATTGTTCTGGTTGGTATTTGCATATAATTTATTTTGTTAAATGCACTTTAATCAAAATCTGTGAATTATTGTATGTAATACCCTTTTTTCAGGAAGATCTTGGGATAGGTTTATTCCAACAGCGTTATTTTAAACTCGATGATACTACTCTAAAACAGGAAGAAATTAGAAATTTTGGTCTAAATTCAAGATTAGTGAAGAATTTTGAAATTTTTAATGGAAATCCACTAAGCAAAGCACAGCTATCATTATATTCCATTATCGGCAGATACATCGATCTGTGTGCAGCAGGATTAAAAATCGATTGCACAGTTACTGTTTCTTTCATCATTTCCAATAATTATATAGTGAACATAATGCAAAGTAAATTGTGGAGAAATCTCCTGCTTAATTTCTCTTTTTCATCTCTTAAAAGTTGAATCAAAATTTTAAACTATAAAGCGAAAATAATTTAGCCATTGTATTGTTTGCATGCTATCAATCATGTTACGCAAACACGAAATATCGTAATAAAAAATAAGCAATTTTTGCAAGAACGTCGCGAAAAGGTGATTTTTTTTTGTTTTCTGATGAAATCATTTTTACTTAATTATTAGTTAAATATTAGTAAATCTTGTTGCTGTATCATCAGATAGATAAGATAATATTCCTTTATTTTACCGAACATATACAGAGTAATAGTATATCTTTTTCATTTAATATACTTGCTCCCAACATTTGCTGTATGATTTGAAAATTATACTATGTGGTTTTTTTCGATTTAATATACTTCAAAAATTTTACTATGTGATTCGAGACTAAGTTTTGATGCGGAAGAAAAGAGGAATGATCACTTATTCACGTTTTATATTTGTATCATATGTTTTCTCATATTTTTATACGTTTTATTAAAATATTTTTAATTGACTAATGAAAATTTTTTTTTCAAGTTTAAATTTCATGTTCAGGGAACACTAACCGATGATGATATCGAAAATGCACGTGATCAAGGATTATCTCGACCAAAAGTGCTAATTATTTGCCCAATGAAAAAGGATGTCTTTCCAATTATTGAAAATTTTCGATTGCTAATTTTTGGTGATTCAGATAAGCCGTTTATTTCGAATTATCGGCGATTCAGAACGGAGTATGGCGATACGGGTTTCAAAATATCAGAAAAAAGAAAGGTCGAAGTTTCAAAAAATCACCGCCAATTTTATGAGACTGTTCATTTATCTCAATCGCATTTATGTTTTTATCAATTTATCAGTAAAAGTTTTATCGATGTTTTATCAAATTTACCATTAGGTATTCTTTTTTATTGCCCGTATGTTTTCGTTTCATTTTTTCATACAGCAATTTTATTTATTACTTTTCAGGTTTCTGTTGATTACCGGGAACTTATGAGCGGAAATATTGATGATTGCTTCCGGATTGGTGTTGCAATTGCCAAAAAAAGTTTAAAACTTTATACAGCATTTGATGAATCGGATATTTTAATTGCTTCACCACTAGGTTTACGGATGATTGTAGGTGAAGGTAGTGAGGAACGTGAAACGGACTTTTTGGCTTCCATAGAAGTGTTAATCATTGATAAGGTAGGTTCGTTTTTCTTTTTGAAGGGATTTAAAACAGTCATTTTTATGAATTTTTCGTTGCTTTTACAACGTATTTTTGTGGTGAAAAGTGATTGTCGGGATGAATAATATTCATAAATATCAGAATCTACCGGAATCAAATGCTAGATTTAGTTATTGAAGATTTCTATACTTTTCCTGCTCAAAACTTATGTTATTTAAAGAAAAACAGTTAAAGAAATTTAGGCTGACATATTGCTAATGCAAAATTGGGAACATTTGTTAAATATTATGAGTAGTTTACATATACAACCCAAGAAACTCACAGTTGATATATCACGAGTTCGGCGTTGGAGCCTTGAACAATATTCCAAATTTTACAGGTCTTTTTTTTCTTTTTTTTTTTTTTAACTTTTGAACAATATGTGTATAAACTAATGGGATTTATCAAATTAGGAAATAAATTATATTATTAGGCAAACAGTGCTAATATCAGAAGAACGTCGTGCGGAATGTGACGCACTATTTGCTGTTTATTGTAAGAATTTTGCTGGATTTGTCAAGCTACTGACACGAAGTGAAGGATTGCTAAATAATGTTTGTTTTTTCCTCTTTTTTGTACAAAATAGATTAAAGTTTCAGGGTTAATAACTATAAACTTGACGGATATTTAAACTTTCAAGCGAACGTGAAATTAGTTAATCAACTTCCGCAATATACAATTAATAATAACTTGCCTTTCCCTGACTTTGATATTCAGTTTGATCAATGAGGATATAAGAAAGTACTTTTTCATTGAAGGAAATTTCTGGTATGATGATAGTTTTGGTCAAATATGGAATAAACATAAAGTCTCGAACTAGTAATTCTTTATTATGCAATAATTGATACCGTTATCGGAGATTTTGGCAATTTCAGATAGAGATTCCATACTGCCAGGAGTTGCAGCGAATCGATGTTGACGTAGCAGAGAATCAGTCTGATATCCGATTTAATTTTTTCAAGGTATTTTTATCCAAGTCAATAAGGATAATGCGAACTTTTGAAAATTAATGAATTTTTTTATAGAACATTTTTTTAACGAAATGATATGTACATGCACATATACGGCGTCATAGAGAAGATGCTACCTTCGAAATAAATACAAATGACTTTTCAGGAAAAGATTCTGCCGAAGTGTGAATTGGGTACAGTTATTTTTATCCCATCTTATTTTGACTTCGTAAGAATTCGGAACTATCTAAAGAATGAAAATGAAAGCTTCGTCCAACTTCATGAGTACGCAAAGGAGGGAAAGGTCAGTCTTTACTATTAAACTTTCTGCTTATCTTTTTCTCCAGAAGTAATAAATACCAAATAGCGGGGAAAAAAGTTTATGACTGTGATACTACCATTTGTCTTTGGTATATTCTCAGTTGCTTTTGTCTTCGCTCGAGAAATAATGATATGATGATTTCTGATCTACAGTATTAGCGACATCCTTTCCCCGAGATTTTCTGGTAGAAAAACTACAATTTCTAAAATAAAGCCATAATTTACAGGTAGCAAAAGCGCGGGCATTATTCTATAAGAAGGAAAAGAAATTTATGCTTATAACAGAACGATTTCATTTCTATCGACGTTATAATATTAAGGTATTTATAAAGCTTTTATGATTCTTCTTTTTATTCTGAGAAAATAACTAAGATGCCAATAGTTTCTCTATGGGAAATGCCTATTTCGGTTATCCCTCTATTTCAGTAGTTATTTTTAGGCACAGACGTTTTATTGAAATTAAGTGGTTTTCTAAGTTAAGTCGCTTTAATTAGTTTTCAAATCTCTTATGCTTCCTTTTTTCTATAATTCAGGGTATCGGATCACTCACTTTTTATCAACCTCCTGCACAACCCAAATTTTATCACGAAATGATTAATCAGGTGGATTGTAATTATGCTCATGTTCGTATGCTATACACGAAATTTGATTTCCTTCGTATGGCTCACATATTTGGTGATGTTTGCACACGACAGATAATGTTTTCCACTAAAACATCGCATGCTTTGGTAAGCCGGTGAAAACTAAGTGTTGAAATAAAACTTCAATATAATGTGCTCAACTGTGATCAGATTTAACATTTCACTTAATATAAAAGTACGAGTTTGGAGAGATAAAAGAATGGAGACAAGCTAATTATCCCTTATTAATGAATAAATTAGAATAGCAGCCAAATTATTGAACAAATATAGCAAGGTACCGAACAAAATATGAATATAATTAGTAGATAAAATGATAGTCAAATCAAAACTTTACTCGGAACGATGATAAATTGGACAAAGATCCTGTTCTCCTCTTCAAGCACCGAGATGTAATTGAATAAAACTGGATAGTAGAGGTACAAAACAGTTGAATACAGCAGCAAAAACCTAGATAAACCTCATTTTAATAATAAAAAATGAACTAAACTGGAAACGCTCTCAAAGAACAGGAATGGAAAAAAGGAAAGCTATAAAACAAGAATGGAAATATCACGCTAAAAATTCAGAAAAATATTCAGGATTTGAGTACGGTGAAAATCGATGACATGATTAAAAATTCCAAATCCATACATAGTCCAGAATGCATTAGCATGAACTTTTCATTCAAGGAACTATTAAAATCATTTAAAAAAAACTTTTGATGGTGGATGAGAGTTCCTTCAACAAATCTGCTTGCATTTTTTACCAGTTTTCTGCAGCACTGCAAGTATCGAATCAGCTGGTAGTGTGGTTGTAACAACGACACGCTGATCCTGTATACTGATTTGTACATCTGATATATCATCTGCAAAAAAAAAAAAACCAACAAATTAGGAAGTGAAAGAAAGAATGAATGAAATTACAAGAAAGGAACACTTGATGATGCAAAATATGACCACCAGTTTTCGATATTTGGTATTAATTCGTTTAGAGAATTAACTTATTGATCAAATATTTCAGCATTTAACCTTCTTTGAAATTTCGGAAAAATACATCATCAAAGATTGACATACCACCTAATTTCGACAATACTTTTCGTGCTGCATTTGCGCATCCATCACATGTCATGTTTAATTCAAATGTATATGTCTGAAATTCAAATAGATCTCATATAATATACCTGTATACCTGTAGTAGTGAGTTATCATTATTCATAACCAGAATAGCTATAATGAAGGAAGATTCAGAAATCCGGATTTCTTACTGGATGTGAACGACATAAAACAAACTTGTTCGGAAGTTTATCTTCCATAGTTTAAATTCAATTTATCCAGTAAAATATAAACTTTTAAGCCTTTATAAAAAAAAAAATAATAATAATAAAAATACAAAAATGAAATCTCACGTTAGCCATTCAGCTAATGTTCTTCAAGTCAAATCAATATTACCAAGCCAATACTGAAAAATTAATTTATTGCATCCAATTCAAAACATATTTTAATACAAAATCTTTTTTTAACACTTAAATAAATAGCACGAAGCCGATTAATGTTCCGCTTAAAAAAAATTTTAGTAAAATCCGAAATAATCTGATAAAAAATTCTAAAAGCTTGTTAAACACATAGATATCCATAAATGGCAATTGATTCTAGACTAAAGTCAAACTGCAAAAATTCAGTATTCAAAATTTTCAATATAAGTTAAAATGCAAAAGGTATGATATAGAATATATGAAAGACTTTTTCAAAATTATCTATTAAAAAGATGTATAGAATATAATACATTATTAAATTGAATTAGGAAACTAATAAAGTTGATATATTTTTAGGAAAAGTAATAATTTTAATTAATTTTAAACAATTTTAGTAGCAATTTTGGGACAAAGAATAATATTTGTTTAAATTTTAAGTTGAATACCTAAATCCATTATGCAAGATTACTATGACATTCATATGAGTCAAGCTTAATGTTAAATAATCCTGATTTCACAGTATAAGATTTCCGGATAAAACAATTCTTGTAGGACAATTTAAAGAAAATTTCCGGAAAGAATAACAATTCTAGGAAATGTATGATATTCCAATTTATGGGCAATTCCAATTTATGTATCCGGCAGCTCCGATATGATTCATTGAATATCCCGGATTGCACTTCTATTTCATGTACCATAGCATGCAACGATTGTAGAATAATTTGTCTCGTGTTGTCTCTGCCCCATTCCGTTTTCCGGAATAAATTTTGATCTTTGCACTCATTTACGGATATTTCGATATATATATATATATATATATATATATATATATATGTATAATATGTTGAATTTATGATACATTAAAATGAACTGGCCGGTTTTCTTTTTTTTTGTTTTTTAAATAATCGTCGGTTCAGAAAATTTTGATACTTATTAATCAGTCATCATCCGTGTGATTTTCAGGTAGTGCTGTAAATCATCCGACAAGTGTTATGTCGGGTGAAACTGGTGGACATACTATACAGCAGTTAACCTCTAATCAATCATCAACTACTGCAACACTTCCGCAATATTCAGTTCCGGCTGCCCAAGTATCAGGAACATCAAAATACACTCAGTTATTGAGTGTTAGTTGCTTCCTACTTCTTGAATTTTCGAATTATAAATTCGCAGATTTTAATTATTTGTTTTTTGACGAATTGTTTGAGTACTGATTCTCATTATTATTCAAAATAATATACAAACATGACTTCCGAATTTCCTATGGCTTTGGAATAGTTAGAAAAACGGTGGACACGTCAGTCATTTTCATTAATTATTGGTTTTCTTCTTAAGTGTTGAATTGAATAAATATTGAATTGCATAAGATTTCAAATATTTTTTGTAGGTGATTGAAGAATTGGGAAAGGATATTCGACCATCATATACAAACAATAAAATTTGTTCAGAACGTTTGAAACGAAATATCATCCGTGCTCGGATTCTTGTACGAGAATGTCTAATAGAAACTGATCGAAGTGTTCGGCAGCAATAATTCGTTGTATATTTTCCAACTAAATCTTTAGATTTGGGAAAGTCTAATTATGGAGACTTGCTCGCTCATCCTCCATGAAAAACCCGCTGCTTTGGAATTTATAGAGAAGAAATCGCTGAAATGTATTGTTGCAACTTATCAGCTGCATAACCATAATACTCATTCCGGTAGCATATACAGATTACATGGAAATAAGGTGGATAAATTAATCGCTTTACCGGGAGGAGTTTTCCGTTTTGCTATGCAGCCTGATGGGTATATTATTTCTGCTTTAACAACCGGATCAGTTGGTGTGGTCAATAGTAATTTGGATGCTGCACATATTTTGCCGGTTACCAAAAAGGAAATTCTACTTTCGATTGCAATTTGTGGAAATTTTGCACTCTGCTCCGATGTTTGTGGAACAGTGCATGTTATTAATCTAGAAACGGGTATTTTTTTTTTTTCTTTTTGCATTAAAGCTCAGATCTTGAAGCTGTGGAAATTGGAGTAGTAATTTTTTAAATTTGAGAGTGGAAGTAGAAATAGTCCTCAAGTTATATATGGAATAACATTTGTATCAAATCTCAGCATTAAATTTCATTCTCAACTATAAAAGCACACCAATGGAAAAAAAGTGATATGATAATTAAGGTAATAAAATATAAATAGTAAAAGCACAGAATGAAATCATTTCCAGCGCTTAATATCTGGTTTCTTCTGTTAATTGTACTTTAAAGCAGAAGACAGGAAGTATTCTCTAATATTAGTGTTAATCGGATTACCGTAATTAATCTAAGCAATGTAGAATAATTTTCAGGTTTCTGACATAGATCTCTGTTAGTTAGTAAATTAATTAAAATAATTTATCTATCTTTAGATAAGATAGATAAATTCGAGAGGTATGGAAGTATCAGCATCTTTCTACTTATTTTGAAGTTTTCCATGTATCAATGTTTTTTTGTATTCTTCATTTTTAGGAAACATTTCTTTCTCCTTTCTGGGACATACTTCACCATATACTGATGAACCGTGTGAGGTTTGGACAACGACTTGGCTTGATACCAATTGCATCCTATCGGGCGGTGAAGATAATCTACTAAAACTATGGGATTTGCGATTAGGTACAAAACAACCAGTAACTGTTAATAAGACACATCAGTGCGGTGTCATTTCGCTTCATACAGAAAATTCAGAATATGTTATCAGTGGTTCATACGATGATCACCTACATCGCATCGATCTTAGGAATTTCGCTCAATATATTCTTGACAAAAAGGTTTATTTTTCAAATTTATTTCTGTTTCCGACATTTTAAAACTTATAAAAAAATTTATTCTAGAAATAATAATGAGATATTTGATTAGAGGATCGTAATTTGTAATCTAGAATTTCGTATGATTCTCAAATCAAACTAGAAATTAAAATTTTGTACATTTTAAAACTTTTTTAGCTAATATATATATATATGTTACCTAAAGGAAACCTGAATTTCGAGTTATACTACTCATCGAATTGTAGAATTATTCCGGCAAATCATTTCAATTTCAAATTTTAAAATTCGCTTTTATGTAGTATGAGTCTCGGAAGAAAATAAATATTTGGAAATAAAAACAAAATTAACTTAATTCACAGACAAAAACATTCATTTTCCAGATAAATGGTAGTGCATGGAGCATACGCATTGCTGATGAAAATTCCTATGTTGTCTCGTGCATGTACGGTGGTTGGATAGTAATGAAAAAGGATAATTTTGATATTCTTCAGGAAAATAACAAACTAGGTGAAAAATTGTTATATGATGCAGATTTCTCACCACAAACTTCCGTTATTGCTTCCTGTACTTTTAATAATTATAGTGTGAATTTCGAAACAATATAAATCGTTGGCTACGTTAGGAGCCAACTATTCATCCATTTGTTAAAGTTTTCCTTTCATAGTTCGGTGACTTACAAATTGTACAGAATTTCATTTCATTGTAAGTTTGACTAAATGTATAAAATTGTGATCATATTGGATTTTTGTTTTTAGCATTCCATTTTGTATACAGTAACAAAAAAAAAGACAGCCCTAGCTTCCTGTGATATAAATTACAATTTAAACAATAATGGAAGCAGGAGTAGTTGGACTTGGTAATGTAAGAGCTGCATTATGTGGATTACATGGGAAAACCTGAAATTTGATCAGATTGTCGGAACATTTATTCGATTCATTAGAGGCTACGAGAAGTAAAAATTTGGTACTTGAAAATAGTAGCAAACCTTAATATCCAAATCCCATGCCATAGTTTCTATATTAACATTTGTAGGTGCCTGCCAAAGACCTTCTTCCACTTCTTCATTAAAGTCATTACATGTTACGAATTCGAAATGGAGGCGCCATTTCAAATGAACTGGAAAATATACAAAAATGGATAATATGCTATATGCTATGAATGGTATAACACTAAAAGAATAAATGAAAATGCAAAGAAGTGTACATGACTAATGCTTAAAACGACTAGGAAAGGTTACATAATTAAAGAGATAGTTTTTCATTTTCACTAATCATTACTTCTATTTATTCTCAACGTTAATTTAGCAAATTAGTGGTATACAAACTTATATAAATGTAAAGGTTTAAAGGCTTTTTCATTTTGGAAATGTAAAGGCCAGTTTTCCAAATTTCTTTATGTATTACCAAATAGCATTTAAAAGATCTTAAACAAACCTCAAAATTTTTTTTTCATGTTTCATTATACTCAATCATTACTTTGAAAACTTACCCGTATCTGTATAAAACGTAGATGTTGCAGAAAGTGGTATATGTAGTCGTATTGCTGCTTCAGTCCAATATGCACAAACAATATGCTCAGTCATATGGGTAGTTACAAATGTATGTGAACACCATTCTTCATTTACTAAGTTTTCAACTGACTGTAAGCTAACAGCAAACTGAAATTAATTTTGAACAAATAATAAACTGAGCAGAGTGTGTATTAAAAATTAATTAACTTCTACAATTTTTGTGAAAAAAAGTAGTAGGGAAGATATATAGATCAGAAAAGATTGGAGTGCTTTTTCTTCGCTTATTTGAAGACGCACTTGTTGTCCTGACGTCAATATACTTTCCATTTTTTAATTTATAATCAGTGAGTTAAATGATCACACTCTCAATTTCGATGTAACATCAAACCGAGAAAACTCATCTTTCAATAGTTAGAATTTTCGTTCTATATATATAATTTATTTATTACAAGATAAAAAACTAACACGGCGTAAGAAGCGGTAATTATACTAAGTATTTTCTAGCAACTGCTTTAAAAAATAAAAAAAAAATTTTCTTTTATAAAATGTAAAACTTTATAAACCTGAAGGCATCGTACGCCACAGTTATCGAAATTAAATCTCCCAATAACATCTTCCCCTAATTTGTAGGCTTTTTTATTGAGCAAAAAGTTGGCAATTCGACCGAATGCATTTGTTATATTATAACTATAAACTCCATGAGGTGCTGTTAAACAGTCACTCGCTTCCATAGCTAAATCAACAATTGACGGTCTGAAACATCGGATTTTTTTTTTTTTTTTGAAAAGGTCGAATTGCAAGTATTTAATTTAAAAAAGAAACTAAATTGCTTGTGAAAACGAAAACATAATGTGAAAATTACACAAACAATCCATAATTACAAAAACGAGCATCACTAAATTAATAAAGTAGTTGTTACCCAACACTACGGTTGCTAATGAAAGGGTTAACAAGCGTCGGTGAGGATGGCAACGTCAATCCAAGATCAGATTGTATGATTCGTAATGGAACGTGTATCAGTTTGATTGGTGACTTAACGTGTTGCACGCCAAGCGTCAATTTATAGATATAACGCACAAGATGTCCTCTGAAAACATGTAAACATTATGATATAAAGTGAATTAGGCCAAAATGACATGCAGCACAAAAAATATTCTTCGAAAATATGAATTAACAAGCAACAAAATGAAATAAGAATAAACTTGAATGATGGTGGTATAGAATCCAATGGTAACTGTTGCGTACATTCAAAATTACGACTTTCACCAGTATGTAACACCAGTTCACAAAATAAAATAACCGGTCGGCAAGAAAAAACAGTAAAAGCGGAACGTGACATTGCAGTTGTCGCAACCGTTTTCGATTTTTCTTCGCCTGAACTTTTTCTCGATAAAGGAATATCGGCTTTATTTCCTCGGACAATTCGTTCGCATTGTACATGAACGCTTCCCCATGCTAAGGATTCCTCATGATTACCAATATTTTGTACTATTACCTAAAACATTAATAACATAATATTTATAAAGAGTTACATTATAATGGTTTAATTTTTGTATGACATATTGTGGATATATCATACTAAAATGAAATGCATTTTGAGAATTTTCACAGAAAAAAAAAATTCCAGAAATCGAAAAGTAGTTATGAAAATTAGCTTTATCAGAAAAAAAAAAAAAAATTGATAAAAATGTTTTAGCCATACAGCACTAATGACTAATCTATTAATGATAGCATAAATAATAATACTTGCTTTATATGAACATTTAGTAGACTATACATGGTCAAAATTAAAGATGGATGGGAAATTTAGGAAAATCAGATTTAAATTCTATCATAAAAAAAATCCCAGTTTAAATTCTATAGGTGGAGCGAAAAAGGAAAAACGACTATGAATGGATTGTTAATGACTTAGAATATTTTGGAATGATAATCTATGATAATGAATTGGACAGTATAATAAGTAAAGTTAGGAAAAATGCAAACTTAATATGTTAACGTAGATATAATATTAGCTCGATTGCTCGATCTATCACTCTATCTAATAATAGTTATATATTAGATAGAACACAATAACAGTTTGCAACCAATAAAAAAAGCAGAAAAAAAAAAAAAAAAAAAAAAAGAAAAACCTTGCATTGTATAGCTTCCCCAGCAAGATATACCGCGGATTCACGATCTAATTTTGCCACTATTTCAATCGGCATTGTTTAATAGAAATCCTGTAATAAAATGAAAACATCTTTGAAAGTATTTGTATAACACACAGACGATAATGCCTAACTTAGAAAACAAGCATCAACAAAAGATGGCTAAGTCAAATTTGAATTGAATGAGCTTTTATAAATGAATCACTTCAATCCCTTCCAGCTTAAAATTTCCAAATTGAAATCGGTTAATTCTATCAATACGAAAGGATAATGATTTGAACTTTTATACGCTAAACACAATTCTAACCTTTCAAATAATTCGAATAGATATTCTGTAGAACTTGAACATCACACAACCAATCTTATCTCCTCTCTTACTCTTTTGTTCAACATACTGCAAATAAATCAGCTAATTAAATTCGTACAATAATATATCTTTTAGAGCATAAATTAAAGGAATCAACAGATGCTACAAAATCCTTTTGGAAAGCCACATGATCATCTATATTTAATATATTTAAACAGGTATGTCATCAGTTTTTGATAAACATTTGGATAAAATTAGATAAAAAACAATATTTCAACTCTCAAAAAAATTTCAACTTCTCTCTTAATACTACTCTAGTACTAACCATTAAATTTATCCACTGTAACAATCTATTAGTTCTTTCCCTGATGAAAAAAAAAAAGTAAAATGATTAAAAATTTGTACAAATTAAAGTATAAATTTATCCGATGGAGAACCATTTCAATGCAAATTGTGTTACGACAATATTTTAATTTGAGAAATAAATAATTTAAATGCAATTTCACAGAAAAAAAAAAATTATTCAAACAGTTCAACAGTAATATTAAAATGCAATATTATTGTTCAATGACACCAAAACAGGAGCATTATAAATTAAGAAAACACTCCATAAAGATTATACAGAAAAAGATTTGCTTGAAGCATAGATTAAACGAATCAATAGAATGCTACAAGATTCTTTTGAATTGGATAGCCAATGTTCACATTTAATATATTTAAACATAGGTGTACCATCAACAAGAGATCATGATCCATTTTCGGTGATAAAGCATAAGTAGAAAAATATTTTTAGTAGACTCAACAATTCATAAATCCTAATTACAACAGAAGAAGCATTACGAACTTATATTAATCGGTTAAAAAAATTAGTGAAATATTTGTACTGAAATTGCCTGCAAAACTTTCTGTTAAACCAGAAGTGTATATTTGTTTTACAAATAGATTAAAAAAAAAAAAAGGATAATTTATAAATAAGATAATTCAAATTATATATTTAGATATATTATGAAACAAGTCATTTAATTAAGTTCAAATAATTTCAAATTTAATACAATCTCATGTTCAAGAACACATTAACAGATACGTTTGACGGAATGCTAATGTGAAGAAACGAAAAAAAAAAGTATCATATGATAATTAGGAAATGGAAAGCATTTGGAAAAGTCATACTTCCAAGAAGTTAATAGAACGTTAATTAATAGTTAATAGAACAGTATCAATTGTATATTTTACTGCATTAAATGCACAATAAAGCTAAAGTTAGATATTAGATAAATTATAAATCAGTCACGAAGAGATCATTAACGTAAAATACATGACTGACATGAGCATTCAGTTACTAAATGCCTAAAATATGCCATCAATCTGACAGCATCTTCATAAGCATCACCAGCTGAAAAAATGATATAATTACCTAGATTTTTCTATCAAGAATTAACCCCTCCTAAAAAAAAAAAAAAAAAAAAAAAATGTAAAAAATTTCCTAATCAAATGAGATTTGCTATTTGAGAATATGAAAATGAAAGAGAAATAATAAAATGACGACAGTCTTGAAAGTATTCTAACACGAATACTTCAAAACAAATTAGCTCACATAGAAAAATTGAAAATTTTCTTAACGGGAAATCCTGGAAAGTTCAAGACACTTTTTTTAAAATTTAAAATTTCAAAAAAGATATAACAAATTCAAAAAACTTACTTCCTGTAGATTCAACAAATGAAGCTGATGATGATAAAGCATTCGTCGTTAGAAGAGAAGTAGACGACAATAGCTTCGATCCTATAGCACCCGAAGTTTCGGAATAAGAAACAGAATTTGGACATGAATCAAGCGCTGAATTTGATTGTTTCGTCGATTGTATATTATTATTCTGAGACAAATTATTCGTTGCCCATGTTGCAGTCTGCTAAAATTACAGTATATATATATATATATATATATATATAGTAAAAAAATTAAAAATCAAAAAAACTAGAGCAATTACTATAGAATCTTTATGTCAGCTAAATGTATTTACCAGGCCATTGGGATGCACTTCATTGTTTGCAACATGCTTTGTCACAGTATTCGCTGTTGGTGTAGAGCTTTGAGATGTTTTTTTAAGAGTTGCAGCAACTTGTCTAAAATTTCGAAGCAGAACTTAAAAGTTCCATAAAATTAACATGAACATTGATGTATGACGAATGAGATATTCTTCCGAAAGCTTAACGTAGCTTAAAAATATCTACAGTTTATAAAATAATTTTAACAAATTTCACATATTTACTTATTGTTCGATATATCAGCAGGCTTCTGTTGTCGCGACGAAAAGCTCTCAAATGTAGCATTTTTGTTACAAACAGCAATTGCTCTCCAACGACAATTATTTTGCTTTTGTTCAATCGCTTTATATCGTATTTGTACGCCAGTTTTAAATGCACTACGAATATCCTGAAAACAATATAAGTCATCTCATTTAATCTGGTAATTTATTGAAGAAATTTACGTATTTCTATTTGTTCGCCCTGAAAATTAATGCCAACTCATTTGAAAACAAAACTACCTGTCTTCCATCTATACTCATCAATCTATTGATAGATAGATAAACAGATATATAGATACTAAAAAAAATAGGTATATAGATAAATAGACAGATAGCTACTAAAAAAAAAAAAAAAAAAAAAAAAAAGGAAAACGTAATTTACTTGTGTTTCCGGGCGAACAACGCTTGCAGTGAAATAGACTGTATTACCATCATTTGTCTAAATGAAATTTAATGAAGTACATTTCTCATAAGTTTTCCGATGTTAAAGAGACTTTAAGGTTGCAAAAATAAGGTAAAGGCTCGTGTAATAAAAGAAAAACTTTGCATTATCGCAATGTTTGTTAAAAAAAAAAAAATGCACGACAATAAAAGATCTAAGTTTCCCTAGTTTGCATGAAACATTAGAAAAAAATGCTTAATTACCAACAGGTGAGTAGAAAAAATAGTTTTTACGATTATTTGTGAATTTCAATGATTCATTGGAGATGGAAAAAAATTAATTAGAAACAGATAACTCATATAAACAAAGTAAAAACACAAAATGTACATATCACTTCTATTTTCCGAAAACATACCGGAAACATACCGTAATAAAACCATACTGGCCTTGATGTTCGTCTACTTTAAAAAATGTCCCAATACCTTCCGACATTACGGCCTTTGATTCAAATTTTACACTTTTTGCTAGAGCTTTGAATCGAACACCAAAATTACAATGAGGAGGTTCCTGTAAAAAAATATATCAACTGAAACATAAACTCACATAATCTCAAAACTTTAAATTAGCTACAGGAAGAGAATGAAACAAGAAGAATTATGACGAAAATAATCCTAATATGGAAGAATAATGGGATAACAGACATTTTATGGAACATTTCTTCATTTTTTTTTTTTTTTTTTTTTTCTTCTAGATAGTTTTAAACTGTAAAAAATGAAGTTTATCATTTGAAGGAAGAAATTTTTTTTTAATAATAACTCACAGCTTCGTATGATTTCGCTTTAAAAGTGACCCAGTCTTGCAAATCATAGCTAGTTGCAAGCCATGAATCTTTGAATGCAACAATTTTACCATCCAAACCACCTTTGGATAAATGAATGAATTCATCGCCAACATATACAACACGTGCTCGACCCGTCAGCATGCTACTCATAGCGTTGAAGAGATCTGAATAAAAACAAAAAATGAAAAAATCTTGTTTAGAATTATATGAGTGATAAGAATAAATTATTCCTGAATAATTAATGGATAGTTTGATAAATAACATTCTCCAAATAATCAACTTCTCAATTATCATAACATCGATGAGAGTTTTCCTACTAAATTTGATTGATTAAAATGATGGGTTTTTTTGACATCGATTAAATTGCAATCAACAGCTGAATGAATTATCGACTGGTTATATGATTTGCTGCTATTTATATCAGTTATATATTTTGATTGATGCAACAAAAAGAAAAAGAAAAAAAAAGAAATGGACGAGGAATAAATCGGATGATGCGCATTTATAATTTGCTTTTACAGTTTAACACAATGAATATAAGTAAACAAAATGTCATTTTCATATCGGAAAGCACTTCGCAAATCTACATAATTATATTCATACAATGAGAAAAACTGCAAAACATTAATGACCAATCCTTGTCTATATTACTTTAAAAAAAAAAAGCATTTTCAGGGAGGAACAACTAAAAAGATATAAGCTAATTGATATAAATTATTGCAAATTTTTCAAATCTATCAGAAAATATGCATACAAACACTGGCGAATAATTGTTTGGGAATTTCATCTTTTAAATCACCCTTATTAAGTTTATACTTATTCTACAGGGTTAGAATAACGTTTTCCTGCTAATTTACTTGATAAATAGAAATGATTTTTTAATTTTTAATCTGAAAACTATTTCAATAGTTTGAGTAATAAGCAATGTATCCTCAGCAGTCTGTTTATATAGATTCTATTCTGTAGTTTTCCATTTAAACACTATAATTTAATTCTTTCTATTTGAAAATTTACTCAAATTCTTAAGCAGTGGGTGATATATACAATATACAAATAATATTACTATAAGAATGAGCAAACATATAACCCACAAATGATAAAACTAAAATTATGAGTATGATATTCACAGCACTAATTTTCTTGAACACCTTGTTTGCGATTCTTTACTACTTTTCCCAAGAAATATTCGCCAGCCTGAAACAAAGTTTATAACTTATAAATTCCTTCTCAACAAAGATAAAGTACAATATAAAATTCTGATGAATTATAAAAATCTAAACAAGTTACTTTGTAAGATGATCGAACAAGAGGGCCACTTGCCGTATACAAAAATCCCAGTTTATCTCCCACTTCTCGCCATTCTTCAAATTTTTCTGGAGTAATCCACTCTTTTACCAACAAATGTCTTTTGGTAGGTTGCATGTACTGACCAAATGTAAGTGCATCCACACCTTTAAGTCAAAAATGAACTTATACACTCACATTTTTTTGTGAATATAAAATAATAGAAATTATTATGCTTATTATGCTTGAAATATGCTTTCTTGTATAATAAATACTGAGCGTTTGAAGATGCTGCACACCCCGAACTGTGTAACATTCATCATGACAGATAACATCGAATGATGAGCAAATTTTAAGTTTTTTGATATGCAAGCTCTTACATGCCTATCTCAAAGATCAGTAACTGAAATCTTAATTTGAGAAAAAGTAATCCATACCGATTTTACGTAAATCATGTAATGTTGTTAAAACTTCTTCGTCTGTCTCGCCTAAACCAAGCATTAATGAGGTTTTTGTGACAATGTCTGCACGAAACTGAAAAATTCGCATGATTACAGAAAATATTTGTTGAAGGAAACTTGATCATACTTGATGAAAACAGTCACAAGTATCAAAAGTTTCAAAACCTCACTTTCTTCGCATATTCTAGAACTTTCAGTGACTGATCATAGGTAGCTCTCGGATCTCGTACCCATGGTGTTAATCTTCTAACGGTTTCCATATTATGAGCATAAACATCTAAACCGGAAGAAGCAATCGTCTCGACGGAACTCAATGAACCACGAAAATCAGGTACGAGACATTCCACCAGTATATTCGGACACTCTTGTTTTAGATGTTTCACGGTTGCTGCTATATGGGATGCACCACCATCTTCAATATCATCTCTGGAATTCAACCCTATCAAAACTGAAATCAAAAATTCCAATGAAAACTAACATCGAAATTAAAATAGCTCATAGATAATAAAAAATAGAGAACATAAATACGGACCTATCTACAGATGTGAGCACAACATAGTTGATTCCCCAATCAGCAATAGCTTTAGCTGTATTTATTGGCTCTTCGGGATTAAGAGGAGGCGGCTTGAGTGAGGTTTTAACAGAGCAAAATCTAAAAAATCATAAAAAGATTAAACAAAACAATAAAAAAATGTTCATATAGAAACGATTATTTCTATTCATACTCCAATTTTGATAGCATATATTTGACATGCTCATAAAATGTTGCTCCAAATTTAAAATACTGTATTTTCAAAAGTTAAAATCAAGTAGTTACTATCACACCAAAGGATAAATTGAAGTGATTTAACAATTTATGACTTCAAATGCACAGATATATCAGAATGCTATTTTGAATACAGCATGTTGCATGCAAAAAAAAAAAAAAAACTAACTTGCATCCTCTAGTGCATGTGTCACCCATCAACATAATAGTTGCTGTCGATGGTACGTTATTTGAACCACTCCAACATTCTTCAATATTGGGGCATCTAGCTTCCTCACAAACCTGTAAACTTTTCAAATTTAACATTTTACAAATAGAGAAATAAAATAAAACTCAAAAGCTTGGATTAAATTTCAAAAAACCATTTAAACAACTTCTCAATTCAAGTCACCAATAAATAATGCATTAAATAGGATAATTTAATTGCTCGTAAGTTCTTTAAATAATGAAGAACAGAGTTATTCAGTTGTAAAAAGTGGAAGTTTCAGTGATTCAACTGGAAATAACATAATTGCAATTTCACAATAGATCAAAATAATAAACTAGATTCAGCAAACCAAAAAAAAGAGGAAAAAATTAAAAATGGAGGGTGTTTGATTACATACCGTTGCAAGTTTTAATTTTTTCACTTGTTTCTTGAGGTGAGTAAAATTTGTATTATCCACGGAAGGTATGCTACGTTTTAGCCATGGTGGTAAACGCAATCTTTTAGCATTAGCTTCCAATTTCATCTGTATTCCGTATTTTTCCACAGCATCATTTGAATTTCCTGAAAAGAAGAAATAATGAATAAATTCTCTAGGAAAAAAAAAAAAAAAAACATATTAAATTACTTTTCCAATAATACATCTAATATTATTCATTTCAGACTATGGCATTCTAAATATCCAATAGATTAATAAGCAAGAAGAAATGAAATATAATCTTTCATTGATGCAAAAACTGAAAACAAATTGTGCTTGATAGGTAGCAGGAAAAATTTTCACCCATTAAGTATGCAACTAAGTAAAAGGAAAGTAAATAAAGTTCAATGGATTCAATAAGATGAGAGGTATTTGATATTATACTGAAATAAGAACAAAAATATATTAAAAAAAGAAAGGAAGAAAATAACCTGTTTCAATAAAATCATGCAATGAAGGGCCATCCGGAAGTGCTACACGTTTAGAAGAAAATGTAACCCGTGATATTCGTGTCGTGAAAGATATCATAGTTCTGCAATAATAAAATATTTTTAAGCAATGATAAGATGTTTTAAGAATAAATATACACTGCAAATACCAATCAGTAGAATAATTCACTTTCAGCAAAATTATTTTAAAATAATTTTAAATTACCTAACTTTCAGTTAAATTTGATAATTTTTTTCCTCAAATTCATTCATATTTGATTCAATTATCAATTACTATAATTTTAATTTACTTATCTAAATTTCCTTCAATAATACATTCTTAAAAATTACTTTTAAAAGCGAAATTTTATACTGATAATAATAGCTCAAATTGTGCTTTTAAAAGATAATCTTTCGAAAATATAATTTACTTTTCCGACATTTTAAATTATTACAAATTTAGAAATCTAGTTGTAATTAAATGATTTCTAGATTAGATTAACTCATATATAACTCCTAAAAATTAATGGCACAATATACGAAACATTGAATTTTCGGCAACTTGAATATGAACCCGAAACGTGTATTGAAAATTATTGAATTAGTTAATTTAAGTATCAGTTACTGCTAGCAATTAATAAATTTCATTGTAATCTTTGCTATTCCTCGAGCAAACATTTCAAGTGAAAATTTATCTTTCTTTTTCCTTTTTAACATAAACAATTTCAGTTCTTTTTTTTTTCTTTTTGCTTTGCCTTCATTTTAACTTTTATATGTTGCATGTAACAATTATATAATTTTCTTTCTTTTTTGGATGAAATTTAGAGATATCATTCAGTTTTATCTTATTTCACAGGTATTTGTTTATATTTTTGCAATTTTGATCATTCTCGAACTCTTCTAGCTTTATCTCATATTAACAAGTAGTAGTAATTATTATCCATAAATTCTTATTATCATTGTAACGCAATGTCTTTTTTTTTTGTGTTATAATTTTGATAATTATAAAATTAGGAATTAGTCAGTTGTATCAGTTTTTAATATTCAAATCTTAGCAAAATGTACGTTAAGAAGTTACAGATTATTTCAATGAATTTTTTTTTTTTTTTTTCATTTGCTATATAAAGAAGTTATCAATTAATTATACAATTAATTGTTATGAAGTTACAAATTAATCAAACAAGTTTTTAATTGACGAAGTAATCAAGCTATTATCAGTTAGTTAATTAAGCTTTTAATTGTCAAATATTAATATTTGATTTCAGTATTATAAAGGTTAATTATATTATACCTAGTTTTTTTTTTTTTTTTCTTTTCAAAAAACAATAAAATCATACTTTACTTTTGTATTTAAAGTGAATGAAAATCAATAAAGTTTAGACTGTTATTTACGGTAATGAAAGATAGTAATGTCTACGTTAAAATGTTAAAATTTTAATATTTCCTTTTCTTGATTTAAACTGTATTATTTTTTGATTTCTTTGCAATTTTAATCTTTTCACTACTATAATGGTTATTCATATTCATTATGTTTCAAATTAATATCTCTTCATTCAATTTAATAAGCATGAAAATAGAACTTTTCAGAGATGGTAATTAAATTTTATTTTTCTAATTAAAAGGTGAATAAAATGAAAAATAAAAAGTCTTGATTATATAGATCAAAAGTTATACATGAAGAATTAGAAAAAAACGACACGTGTGTTTATAAGCGGATTCATTTTTTTTTTTTCTTTTTTTAGTATATTAACAACTATTAATTCATTGATACTTTACATGTAACGTAATTATCATCACTATTATCACACGATCACTATTGTTATCATCACTGATAAAAAAATTTGATAGACATATAGGAATTGAATCATTATTTAGAAAAAAAGATTGAAATTGGAAAAGATGAAACATTTATAAAAATGATCAAAAATAATCATAGAATACTAGGAATGTTATCATAACAAGCGATTAGGGTATGTTTGGGTTGAATTTAGAAATGTATGCAAATTTAAATAAAATCGAAGCACAATAATGGATTTAGTTGTGTGTGTGTGTGTGTGTTTCTCTCAAATAGTAATTGTAAAAGATATGAATTTAGGAATAAAATTAAATTTGAAGAATGAATGAATTTATTGAAATAAGTTAAGTTTATTGATGAGAGAGGAACGAAAAGTGCAGTGTTAATTCATTCAACTTTCATTTTCCTCTTATTAAGTAGATTATTTCTTTATTTATGGGCCTTAACAGGCATTTTAGAAGATTGTAACAAAGTTTTCCATTTCCGACTTTGTGTGTTTATCTTTTTTTTTTCATCAACATTAAAATTATACCGGTTTTCGGTTAATTTTCCAATTTAGTGTTGTGGTATGACAAAATAGAAAGTAAACTGTAATAGATGTAATGTGCTACATCTTTTTTTTTTTTTTCAAGTAATCGAAATCAATTTCTCTTATCATTAGCTCTTATAATTACACTATTTTGTAAGGAAAAAGAAAAAAGAAAAAAAAAAAAACATCTCTTTTCTTTGTGCTAAGAGCTCCTATCTGTTTTGTTTTTTTTTTTTTTCTATGTAAATTAAATTTTAAGCAAGAGATAAAGAAATTTTTTTTTTTTTTTTCAAAATTGATGTATCATTTAAACTCATTTGCTACATTTAGTTTTTTTTGTTTTTTTTTTTTTTTTTTTTTTTTCTGGGGGGAGGGGGTAGGGATGAAATTATTTAACGTTTGTTTTGCTTCCACTTCATTTCTTTTAATTCTGACTATTTTGCAATAATTTTTCACTTGCTTATATGCAATAAAATTCTCTAAATCCTGAATTTAATTAGTTTAATATGATTTTCAACATTACTAATTGCTGCAATCTAGCTAAGTGATTGCTTTTCAAAGAAATTAGAAGATTAAAATTAGATTTATTTAATATTTTCCTTCTTTTTAACAATAGAATTATAGTATTTTATGACAGTATATTATCTGATATATTAAACCTACGTGATTAGATAATTTTTGATATAATAGTTCTTTAAATATAAATATATACATTTTTTGCATATGCTATGATTATTTATTTCGTCGTCATGGTAATAATCGGATGTGAAATACTTCACTTTGGAAACTTTTTGTTGCATAGATTATTGAAAAAGAAAAAAATTTTTTGAAATGAAAGAGCAATCAATCAATGTTAACATGTTCTTTTAATGACTTGATCATGGATTAGATGTAATAATAATATTTTATACGGTTGATTTGAATAGATATTTTATTGTTTGATTCTTATCATTCAATAAGTATTGTAACAATGAAGTTAGTGTGGACAGTATTTCTTTTTTATCCATTTTTTTTCCTATCAATGTTTATTTATTTATTTGTTTGTTCAAGATATCTTATTCGTTTTTCTTTCTTATTTTATTAAAGTTTTAATGGTTCTTTTTCAAGAAATTTTAAGCAAAATTTAGTGAGCAATGTGTATGTGTCACTTGCATAGTCATTAAAATGTTTTAAATGCAACAATTATTTGAGTTATACAAAGGCTTTTTAATTTTTTAATCTTTCTTGGCAAAAAAAAAAAATGAAGAAAAAAAGAGGAAGAAGTGAAAAAAGAGCAAAGTATAAAATTGAAAATGTTGCTTTCAGGAATAACGTTGCATATGAGTGATTGAAGAAAGATGAAAATTGGAAATGATGGATTGATTGACTTGATAGCTTCTAGAAGATGTAGGAATTGATAAAATTATTCACATTGAGAATATGAAATAAAGGGAAGGGTAAATTGTAAGAATGTCTGTTGAATAATGGTTGATTTATAAGAAATGTAAATGCAAAGAGTAATAATATTTTGTGTTTTCAAAGGAAAAAAAATTCAGGTAATTCAGTGAAATTATTAATTATTATATAAATTAATTTTTCTCTTTTTTTTTTTTCACTTCTTTGTTTTCTATTGTAAAAGGTAAGATGCTGTTGTTTTTTTCTTTCTCTTTCCCTCACATTTTGTGGAAATTAAAATGATGCAAATTATGATAATGAATTAAATGAAAGGATTATAGAAATTTGAAATTTTCAAAATCGAGTAATCATATTGGTAAGAGAGAAACGGAGAGAGAGAGAGAGAGAGAGAGAGAGAAAAAAAGAAAGAAGGAAAGAAAGAAACGAACAAAAATAAGAAAAAAAGGGAAAGGTAAGTTTATAGGTTACATAAAACGAGTAATATATTGTTGGTAAACTGGATGGATTCTTTTTTTGGAAAAGTACTTCTAAATTCCATTTTCATACTTTAGTTTGTTATTGTATTATGCTGTGTTCGCTTTCTTGACTTTTTCTTTTTTTTTTCTCTCTATCTCACTAAAATTACGGAAGATGAAATGAACTTAAACGTACGTGAAGAAGGGAGAAAAATTATGCTTTTCAATTTATATAATATGACTGAATAACGTTACAGTTATATCTAAAAGATAATTGAGATACGATATAATTTCCGGTTTTTTTTTTTAATTACAATATTTGATTATATAAAATGTGTTCGTAATATAAATATATGTATGTTTACGTATGCGTCTATATACGTACGCTAACGCATGAATAAATTAAACGTTGAAATAAAATGACTGGAAAGATACACTAGCAAGCGCTAAAAATTAATAGTATAAAGAGTGAAAAAGGAGCGGATTAAATGCAAACACACCAACACATACATACACACACATACACACACACACACACACACACACACACACACACACACATACATACATACATACATATGTATGCGTATATTATAATATAATATTATGTTATTATGTTATAATATAATATTATGTGGTCAAATAGACGCAGACTGGTATTTATGACATTTATGAAAGAGAATCAATAAATGGGAAAAAAAAGTGAAATGTTGACAGTTATGAATGCGTATTATGCGTGTATGTATATGTATGCATGTGTGTGTGTGTGTGTGTGTGTGTGTGTGTGTGTGTGACGTGTATGTGTGTATTTATTGCAAAACGTTAATATGTATTATATGTGCTGCTGTATGTGAATTGTGAATTGGAGCAAGAGGAAGGTAATATGTGTATGTATGTATGTTTGTATTAAGTTTAGTTAAAAAGAAAAGAATGAAAGAAGAGAATGGAATGAATTTCTGTTTCTGCCATCAATAATTGCTATTTTGATAGTTGTTGGATTGAAAGGAACACGGAATGTTTGAAATTTGTTGAGAAATAGAGGAAGGAGAAGGAGAAGGAGAAGGAGAAGATATGTTTTAGCTGTAAAATTGCTTGAAGTGGAATGATTAGTACTGCAAAAATTGAATTGAATTGAATTGGAAAAGTGAGAAAGCATCGATAGCAATGATAGTAAATAGTAATACATCCTGGGCATTTCATCTACAGGCGGTAAGGATGGAAGAGAGGAGACGAGAAATGAAGAGAGAATAATTTTTCTTGAAAACTACTGCATGTAATTTATATACATTACAAATTGTAACTCTAGGAAAAAGAGGAAATGATGAAAATGAAGAAGGAGAGAAAGATTGAATGGAAGTGTGGAGAGGGAGGAAAATTTGTTTTAAATTGTATATATACATAAAGATGGGAACGGCTTTATCTATTTAGCAATTGTTAATAAAGTGATTAAAAAAGCTAGAATATTTAATAATAATGTTGATAGTAAAGTATAATATGATAGTAGAAATTTAGTATATATAAATAATTGTAAGATTTAACTTTCTTTTTTCTTTTTTTTTTTGATGTTTTTATAAATATTGTTAGGAAATAATTGATTTTATTTTCATTATTGCTAATTTGAAGATATAAAATAATTATGTATGATTATTTTCTTTTATTATTTTATTTTTTGTTTGCTAAATATTGCAAAAAAAAAAAAAAAAAAATCATATTGAAAAATTTACACAATCTTTTTTTTTTTTAAAAAAAAAATGTTTCAATAATTAAACATTGACGATGTTTTATGTGGTTTGAAAATTTTCAATGAAATTTTTGGCAACATTTCAAAGAAATAGCAGCATCGGCCATTAGCCATCATCGGCCAATCATATGACTTTCGAAATTTGTTTATCTTTATTTTTCTTTTCCCTCTTTTTAGCATCCTCCATTGCAGAATATTTTGATTCAATTTTTTACATTTAGGTTCATTTGTGGTTCATAATTAGGACTTGATTCATTTAGTTGAAAAAGTTTATTTTGTAGAGAATGAAATAGAAGAGAAAGGTTACGAAGAAATTATTAATGATGATGGTGATGATGGTGATGAAAGAGAATAAATTTTGTTTCGTGGTTTGATTATTGAATAGGAGTGTATGAGAGAATGAAGAGGAGAAGGAAGGAAGGAAGAAAGCAAAGGGATTTCTCGTCCTGCATATTTCCAAAATACATTTCAATGCACACCATGTGATTTACGCTCATTATTTTCTCTTTTTATTTAACTTTTGTAGAATATTGTCATACTGTTATGTTAATGTGTTAATTTTAAATTTATGTATATTATTTATGATCATTTATTCAATTTAAATTTTATAGTTTGTTCATTTAACTGGAAATAAATTGATCAAAAATTTCATCATTTTAGCAAGAAAAGTGATAAAGAAGAAAACAGAGAGAGAGAGAGAGAGAGAAAGAGGAAGAAAAAAAAACGATGTCTACAACAAGAAAAGAACCATTAGCAATTGAAGAGTTAATTGCTAAGAAGAAGGAATTGGAAGAAGCAGAAACAAAGGTATTTATTTTCTTATATCATTATAATTTATTATGATAGTGATTGTCAGATAGTTTTGTTAGCAGAAAAAAAAATCATTCATTCTGACAACATCAATGGTATATTAGATGTTATTTTTTCTTTTTTTCTTTTTTGGAATTTTAATATTACACTTTTCTATGTTGATTTCTTGTTATCACTTATTATCATTTGTAACTGGTAGAATTAGTCTCTTTCAATGAAAATGGCTATATTAATCAACAAAAATTTATCTCTTTATTTAAATCTATTTGTTAAATTGAACAAACCATCTCTCAGTGATATTTATTTACACAAATTTGGGCATTATTTGTCATTATGTTACGAAACAAAAAAAAAAAAAAAAAAAGAAAGAAAGAAAAGATTTTTTATTTGGCAAAATTCAAGCTAATTTGTCATCTTTTCTCCATGGGAACAGTTTTCTTCGCTGATAGTAATAAGTGTTTTTTTTTGGGACTTTCGAAAGGTTTTCGTAATTCGATAGAGTTTTTCGAAGTTTAACTTTTTCAATTATTTGACAATATTTTTTTAAATGAAAGGAAAATGATGGCTATAAGGCCTTCACACCGTAAAAAGAGAAATTAAAGAATGTAATAAGAGAAGAGTTACTGTAAGAAATTGAAAATGCTTTACTTGTTTATTAAGAGACTGTAGTTGACAGCTTAATCATATTAGGATTAAATATCATTTGATGAAGAACAGGTGTTCACATTTTACTGTTTAATTGAAAGATTGACACGAAATTAAATATCATTTGATAAAGAATAGGTGTTCACATTTTATGTGACAATTTGTCATTGTAGTTGTTAGGATTGTTGATAAAAATGTCAAGCATCGTTTCTTCTGATGATAAATTAAGTTGCTTATATTAGATATAGAATGAAAAGAGGAATTATGCAAATGGAATAACAGTAAGTTATTTTGACTACTTTATATAAATGAATAATATGAAATTCATTTATTCCCTTCCTAAAGTATCTCTTTATCTCATAGCAAAATAAAATTAAAAGGGAAAAAAAAAAGTTAATAAAGCATTAATATGCTATTTTATGCATCTATCTGCAATAATGCATTCATTTTAAAACACTTCAATTTTGTTTTTATTAAAAATTTCTTGCATATCTGCAAATGGAATATCATAAAATAAATTTTATCAAATTTTCTTTTCATAATTTCTTTATATCTATTATGAATCCAAGCGAAGTAATGCTTTCATATTTGAGTTGCCATTTATGGCTGAGTAATTTTAATGCCTATAGGTATGATAACAAATTTATTTTTTTTTTTTTTAAATCTTTAATTAGGTATAACAGACACTGATTATTTATTTAATTCATTCCAATTAAAAAGAAAAACGCTTATCAATTTGTGTAATGGATTTACATGGCCGTTGAAATTTTTGGAATATTTCTGAAATTTTTAAAATGAAAACGATGTTTCTATTTTTTGTTAAAGATTAGTTGAAATGTGAGAGAAGGAAGTAAAAGATTGGTAAAGTTTTTGAAATAAAGATTATAGATAGATATTGAATTCTGATTCCTACTGCATAATGTACTGATGAATTGCGAATTACTACGAATCATCAATTTAAATTCGACCTTCATTCATTTACTACTTTCAAATATGAATAACAAACTTTTGAAAACAATTTATTTGTAAATATCTGAATCAAAAGTACTCTCGAAACTAATTTCATAACTTTGTCTGTAGAATACACAGAAATGTTGATAATGATTTTCGGTATTTAAATTTAAAATCTTGTGTATTTTTTTGCATCCTTTTCATATCTTGCATCTAATAGCTTTTGTCATAAACTTAGCTATTATTTTTATGTCGTTATTAACTTTAATAAGTTGTAATTTCGCCGAAAACTCAATTGTTCTCCATTTTCTTGCTAATAAAATTTGCTTTAAGTTTATGTAAAAGTTTTGTAAAGTTCTGAAATTTTATTCATAATTACATTATAGATGAAAAAGATACTTGAGAACTGGATGGGTTTGCGAGAATTAATTTGTTAAGAGCAAATAAGTCGTTTTATAAATTTTTATTATGATTTTATTACTATTTAACGTACAAATTTCTAGACAAAATTTTATGAGAAAACGAGTTTCATTTCTTTTTAGAAATATTCAATATTAGATATATGCAGAAAATTGTTTAAATTTTAGGAAATTTTACGAACTTTATCAAATAGTAATAACATTTCAAAATATTTTCCTGAAAACATTTTATGAGATATATGAATAGCAAATGTTACCTTCTGTACTCTTGCTAAACTGCAGAATGATATTTGACTTAAAAGATTTGATAGAAAAGAGAATCCAGGATACAACTTTTTTTTTTTTTTTCAAAATCTTGCAAGTTGAAAATAATGTATTCTATGCATATTGCATCTTTCAGTATTATAAGAATATATATATGTTGTAATGTGACAATATTACAAAACCTTTTAATTCAGCAAGGTGAAATTTTATTGCGCTTATTCATATTATAAATATCGATGCCATTGTGATTATAAAATCGATATTTATGATATAATACTAATGAGAATATCATTATATGTATGTAGTTTATGGTAATCATTGTTTTATCATTAAGATTTTATCTCTTAATTATTTGCAGCCAAAATTTTTAACACGTGCTGAACGTGAAGCTTTAGCATTGAAGAAGCGTGAAGAACAAGTGGCAAAACAACGAGAAGCTCAAAAAGCACTACTTGAAAAACGAAAAGCATTTATTCAAGATGCTAAGAGAACAGGTTTCAAAAGTTTTTCTCCAAATATTTCTGTGTATTATTAGCTATTATCTTCAGATAAAATATGCTTTTTTTTATTATAGTTTTGTAATTTTCATTACTTATTTTGCACTGTTACTCTGCATACCATTTATAGAAAAAGAGCGTGATCGGGAACGTGAGAAGGAACGCAAAGATCGCGAACGCGAGCGTGAACGTGAGCGTGAACGTGAAAAAGACACGGAGCGTGATAAGGATCGTGAACGAGGTCGTAGAAGTCGCAGTCGTGATCGAGAAGGTGAAAAGTTTTTGAAGGAATGTTTTTCAATTGATAGAGAGCTTTTTTTATTGAAGTTTTTTGTTGGTTGCGGACAATTTTTGACTTTTATCATCAGGTCGAAGAAGTAGAAGTCGAGAAAGGAGAAGTCGCAGTCGTGAAAGACGAAGTCGAAGTCGTGAACGACGTAGTCGTAGTCGTGAGAAGCGCCAAGATGCGGAAAAAATTGATCGTAATGGGGAAGTGAAAGATGAAAGAGAAACCGACAAAGATTTGGAGAAGCTTAATGAAGCTATCCGCCAACGTTATCTTGGCAAGTTTTTGCTTTCAAAATTTTAGGCTATTTCAGGTTTATATATTAAAGTTGGTATTGTTATCTGGCCTGTAAGTTTCAGTGTTGCGTTGTTGCTATATTCAACAAAATTTTTAATTTTGAAATTAGCAGATATTTATGATAGGGTTTACAATCTTGAAAAACTGAAATAAGTTCATATGAATAAGAATTATAGTAAAGAAGGAACTGTTTTGTTGTTCTATTTCAGCAACTTCGGGTTTTTTAATATTCCGTATAATGCTTTCTTCACTTTACTGTTATTGTGTTTCTTCCTATTTTCATATTACATTTTTTGCATTTGAATTGCGTTGTACAATTTTTTCAATATAATTATACTTCATTTATTTTATTTCCTGATCGTAGAAATTTAAATGTTAAATATTTTTTTCGAAATTTAGGAGGACAACGAGAGAAACGAAAACGTGGTCGTCGTTTGCATGAGCGAAAGTTCATTTTTGATTGGGATGCTGGCGAAGACACATCAAACGACTACAACAAATTATACCAAAATGTAAGAATGTTTTTATAAGTTTAAGATCAAATTTCAATTTTTTGCTTGTAATTTAGTTATGAGTTTCTTTTTTTTTTTTTTTTTTTTTTTTTTTTTTTTTAAAGTCATAAATTAACTCATAAAATTGTTAATAAAATATCTAATTCCTCTTCTTATACTAATTTCAAGAAATGCTGAGAAAAAATGATTGGCTCATGTCAAGGTTACCATATATAGCCTATATTTGACATGTGGTACAGTAGCTTTTTTTTCTTTCTTGATATGCATATATTATAAAATCATTTTTGTAATTTACAGTTGTGAATTGTATTTAGAGACATGAAGTACAATTTTTTGGTCGAGGATCCATAGCTGGGATGGATGTTAATGCTCAAAAGAAGCAAAAATCGGAATTTTATGCGAATTTAATGGAAAAACGACGAACCAAAGAAGAGAAACAGCAAGAAGAATTACGGTACTTTTTATTTGCAAGTTTTTATTTTTTATTTTTTGCATAATTTTCTTTTCCCTTTGCTTATATATGTATATTTCATTTATAGATTGGCTGGTGTAAAGAAGAAAGAGAAGAAAGAAGCATTTGATAATAGACATTGGACTCAAAAAAGCTTAGATCAAATGACAGAACGTGATTGGCGTATATTCCGGGAAGATTTCAATATTTCGATTAAAGGTGGTCGTGTTCCGAAACCGCTGCGTAATTGGGAGGAAGCAGGTCTACCAGCAGAAGTTTTTGATGTTATTATGAAAATTGGTTATAAGGTTAGTTAGATTTATTTTGCTGAAACATCAATAGCGTTCTTATTGAAACTAAAATCTTCATCTTTTGTAATTTATTTTTTTTTTTCTTTTGAAATTGACAGAATTGATTATGACATAATTTGTTTTCAGGAGCCAACGCCAATTCAACGACAGGCAATTCCAATCGGCTTGCAAAACAGAGATATAATTGGCGTAGCGGAAACTGGATCTGGAAAAACGGCTGCCTTTTTAATACCGCTTCTTGTATGGATAACATCAATACCAAAATTTCATGGTAACGATGATCAAGATACGGTTAGTTTTTAGATGCTTTTTTTTTTTTTTTCTTTTTAATTTTTACCTGATATTTCTCATATGATTTTATAAAACATAAAGAATGTATATGAAAGGTCATTATTTTTTATTTTTTTTCTATTGTTTGTTAAAAGTTTTTTGCATTTTCAAATTTTACGATATTACTGTTGCAAATGTTTGTAATTCTTTATGGTTTGAAGCTTTACTATTTGCTTTGCATGTGCTAATTTTCAGATGGTTATGATTCGGTATTTTTTTTTTCTTTAGTTGTAATTTTTTGCAGTTTTCCTTATTAAATGACTTTGTTTGCTTTAAGATATGTTTTACGCTTGTGCATCCGACCTGAGATATCATGAAATTGAATTAATGATTTAATATCTAATCTTAATTGAAACATTTTTTGACTGCATATAAGTTTTTAATTTCTCCATTTTTTTTTATCCAATGACCAGTGACAAAGTTATCACTTTGTCTGCTAAAGATTTTCTCGCAGTGCTTTTATTCCTTTCCTTACATAGCTATTCCGGATCATCCGCTTATTTCTTTCTTCTTTGAGCAAAGTTATATGCAAATCAAAGATTGTCAATTATTGCAGTAAAACTTTTATGAGAAAAGTGTAATTTGAAAAATTTGAAGTTTTTATTTTCAAGAGATTTTCAAGAAGTAGAAATTATGAACTTTTTTCTTCTCCTTTTATCTTTTATTTAGTGATATTGTTGTATTTCAGGGACCTTATGCTATTATCATGGCACCAACACGTGAGTTAGCACAACAAATTGAGGAGGAAACGGTTAAATTTGGGCAGTTGCTTGGTATTCGAACAGTTTCAGTAATTGGTGGTGCTTCACGAGAAGAGCAGGGTCTAAAACTTCGTCTTGGTGTTGAGGTATACTTATTTTTGATTTAAAATTTTTTAAACTGTTATATTTATTTAATCTTCCACATTCAAAACAAATGAATATCCTTCATTATCTCAGTTGTTGCTGTTTTCAGCTTAAAAAGTACATCTTAACTTTGTTGAGATATATCAAAATAATATATATATTAGCATGTTAATTTCATTTCATCTCTTCATTAGTTCAATTTTTCGTTGTATTTGTCACGGTCGATTATTGAGTTCAGTTTTGTTAAAATATTATTTTAGAGAAGTTTCTTCTCATAACTGATAATTTCCCTTAGGAAATAGGAAGAAAAATTGTGAATTCACTTATTGTAATTTCGTTTTACTCATTTTTCTTCATGATTGCAAATGAAATATTTACAAATCCAGCGATAATATCTGAAAATTATTGTGGCAATTTTTGCAACTTTTCTTTTCTTTCCTTTTTTCCTTTTTTTTTTTGATATTTTACTAACTGTGTTTTCCATATCTCTTGCTTAAACAAGATTATAATTTCAATTTTCTCGCATTCTCTCATTTTTTTTTTTTAAAGGTTGAAATCTAGGCACATCATAAATTCTTGATTTCATTATGATGCGATGAAATTTTAATTTCTTTGGTTTTCAAAGCTGTTAAAAGCGAGAAAAGCTGTTGGGCAATTCATTTTGAGATCTTTCTCAAAGAAATTCTTTCAAATTTTTCTTCTTTATTTATTTGGAAATAAATGAAATTATGAAAGAATTGTATTGCATTGCTTGAGAACTGAATTTATGAGGATCGAATGTAATGCAGTTTAATAGTTAAATAGGATTGGTTTTATTTTATACCAATTTTCTTTGAACTACTGCTTTTTTTATTGAATTGGATTAATTTTGCTTAACTTTCATAGGAAACTTATGACGTTTTATTCAGGTGGTTATTGCTACACCAGGTCGTTTGTTAGATGTTTTGGAAAATCGTTATTTATCATTGGATCAGTGCACTTATGTTATTTTGGATGAAGCTGATCGAATGTTGGATATGGGTTTTGAACCGGAAGTACAGAAAGTACGTCCGTGTAAAATAGAGAATTCTCGAATTTTGTGTTTCTCTTCTTTTTGAGTTGTAAATTTAACATTAATTTGCTCTAATTTTTTCATACTTTTCTTGTTTCATAATTTAAATTCAAAAAAAAATTAAAAAGAAATAAATGTGAATTTTTAAAGATATTAATATTTTCCTGTTATTTTTAAAATATGAAAGTATTTTTCTTAACTTTTTTTTTTTATTATTATTGCTTTTTTTATTATTGTTCTTATTCATTTTTTGATATGATCTGTCCTTTACTATTTTTATTGAATTCTTACAGGTTCTTGAATATATTCCGGTGACGAATCTCAAACCTGACACGGAAGAGGCAGAAAAGGAAGAATCCATAATGGAAAATTTCTATTCGAAAAAGAAATATCGTCAGGTAAATTTTTTTTTTTGCTGATGAAAAACTTTTTTAGTAAAAGTTTGAATGACACATTTTACCTAAAAAAAAAAAAAAAATTCATTTTTTTAAGATTTCTATGAATTCATATATAATACATCGAATTTTATCAAGAAAAAATTGTTTTATATATATATATAATTTTTTTAATGATTATAATTAAAGATACGTTCTTTGTGTTCAATATCGAAAAACCAGGAAATTCATTAGAAGCACTTTATTATGTTTAGTATGTGCATGTACATTAAGTATAAAGTGCACAAATTGCTGTTTAATTATTGATTTGAGCTTTCTGGGTCATGAATTCTCGAGTTCATAATACTATAATGGTATAGTTAAAAATGAGATAATGTCTTATGGAATTCGTATTATCGTAACATTATTAATGCAGTATCATTTCTGATGAATAATGTAACCAGAATGGCACTCTTAGCTACTTTTTTCGATGCAGTAAATTGAAGCTAATCGTAATTCAATTCACATAATTGTATAAAGATATTAATGCTAGGATAATCTATTGAATTGCAAATTTAGATTGATAAAAATAAGTGAAATTTTTAGCTAGACTAGCATTAAAATAAACAGAAAAAGCAAGTAGTTTGAAATTTAATCCTAGCTTTGAAAATTTTCGAATTTCTTTTTAGACCGTTATGTTTACTGCAACAATGAGCCCAGCAATTGAGCGATTAGCTCGAGCATACCTTCGACGCCCGGCTGTTGTATACATTGGTTCTATTGGAAGGCCAACAGAACGCGTTGAACAAATCGTTTATATGATTGGTGAAGAAAGTAAACGCAAGAAACTTGTTGAATTGATCTCATCTGATGCATTTGAACCGCCTATTATCATTTTTGTCAATCAGAAACGAGTATGTTTTTTTTTTTTTTTACCACATTTATAGCCTACTTTAAAAATATAAATTGTTTTGATTTTTTGAATTTCAAGTTTAACATTTGTAATTTTTCAGTTTTGCTTATTTTTGTTTTTCAAGGGAGCAGATATGTTGGCTAAAGGCCTTACAAAATTGGGCTTTCAACCTTGTGTTTTACATGGTGGTAAAGGTCAAGATGCTCGTGAATATTCGTTGGCAGCACTCAAAGATGGAACGAAAGATATTTTAGTGGCAACAGATGTTGCTGGACGTGGTATTGATATCAAAGATGTTTCCTTGGTTCTCAATTATGATATGGCGAAGTCAATTGAAGATTATACTCACCGAATTGGTCGAACAGGTAATACTATGAATTTTTTAATGTTTATAAGTAAGCTTAAGATCAGTATATTCTGACGATATATGTTTCACTGGAAGTAGTGAAAATATATCACTGAAGGAATCAAAAGAAATCATAAGATGGTTAAGTTGGTCAGTGGTATCTCAAGAAAAGGTAAAAGACTGACAAACGTTGCAATTGAAGACTATACTCACAGAATTGATCGAATAGGTAATGCGAAGAGTACTTAATTCATTTCAAAAAAGCAACAAAGAAGTTTGCTTTAAAAAAAAAAAAAAAACAGAATAAGCTGGCTTTTCTTTTTTGATTTTATTATTTCATTCATTTATGAATTTATTTTCAAAAAAGAAAAAAATGAAAGAGCATATCAACTTTGCTTTTTCTTGCTTTTCTCTGTTTATATTTATGTTAGCGATTAAATTGTGCACTTCAACGGTGCAACTTTATTATCTAATACTGATACATTCTATCTTTTCTTTTTCTTTCTCTCTCTCTTCTTCTTTCTTTTAAAGAAGAAGAAGAGAGAGAGAGAAAAAAAAAAAAGACTATTTCTTCTTTAAAACGATTTTCATTATTTCAAATGAAAATCATTTGTTATTTCCTTCCTCAAAGCGAAAAAGAAGGAAAAAAAAATTTGATTTTTCTTAAAATTCTCCCTTATGCATACAATCATTCATTCATCTCATTGCATTAAAAGCTTTCCTCTTTCATCTTCTCCTTATTCTTTTATTTTATTTTCTTTGTTTTTTTTTTTTCTCTCTCTCTCTCTCTTTCTACTTTCACCTCCTTACTTCAATTTTTTTTCCACGTTTTTGTAATGTTGCTAAATGTTTATATTGATTGTTGTTATATAGGACAGGAAGGGAATTATTTAATGGAAGGGATGAGAGTGAATGAAAAATAATTGGTAAAAGTGTGATCGATTGATTAGTCTGTTGAAAAACAATAAAGATAAGAAGCAAAAGTAGTAACATTATTGTATTGGATCAAAGTATGAAAGTATTTTTTATGACTAATTGATAATTCATTTCTAAATATTCATTCTTTAAAAAAGAAAAAAAGTTTATATATATATATGTATGGTTGGGAAACGAATGAAACAGATTAATGAAAAATGAGTGAATAACTGGAGAAATTAATAGAATGAGCCAGTTTGGATGAAGAGATATATTTTCAGTTGTATTCGATAAATACGATCAAGACATTTTTTTTTTTAATTCTTTATTTGTTGAACGTTGCTAATTTTTCTGATAATCCATTCTATATCATTCATAAACATTTTGTTTCAAATATAAATTAGAAATGAGTTAGTTTTCTTAATTCTTTGTAATTATTCTATTTTCAGGACGTGCCGGAAAGCATGGTAAAGCGATAACATTTTTGACACCTGAAGATAAGGAAGTCTTCTACGATTTGAAGCAATGCCTTCTAGAGAGTCCAGTATCAACTTGTCCACCGGAATTAGCTAATCATCCGGAGGCTCAACATAAGCCGGGTACATATGTTCCCAAGAAACGACAGGAAGAAACACTATTTCGTAATTAATCTTGTTCCTTGCTATTATTTGTTTCTCGTTGCTTTTTTTTTATTACTTTATTGTAAGTAATGTTTGTTCTAATGCTTGCTTATTTTATTTCTGAATTTGATTGGTTAATATGAATGGATAGATAGATATATTGTTATATGTGAGATGACAGTATATTGTCATCGAGCACGTCTATATTGATTTGAATATGGCATTATTTGGATAAGAAAATATCACATCTTTTTTAAAGTTGAGCTTGATAAAATTGATTCTCAGTTTTATTGAAATATTTCTAAATTGTTTCCTTTAAAGGAAGGCCTTTCGTTTCTTAAAAAAAAAAAAAAAAAAAAAAAATAAAAAATAAATAAATTAACAAGATAGAATTTTGTTTTAATGAATTTTTCAAAAAAAAGAGATTTTTTTTTTTCAAATTATAAAGCAAGAAATTTTTAAGAAAATGATGAAAATTTGATACGTTATTAATCATATTTTAGTGAAAGATGACATAACTATAAGATTGTAAAAGTTTTGCATGGTTTACGTTTTGATTATGGTTTGCAAATTGCAATAACACGTTTCGGATTGCCTTCTGGAAGTTGTCATTGTGGACAGTTTCCAGTACGAGTAAGTTATAATTAAATAGAAAAGGTGGGAATAGCTTAAGGAGATTAGAAGCTTATTTAAGACCATGAATTATACTGTTGTTAAACATGAATTTGTGTTCAAAAAAAAAAAAAAAAAATGAAATTTCAGAATCAAAAAAGGTGAGATTTGAAAACTAAAAAGCAAAAAGTGATTGAATTAATTTAGAAATTGTTTTCAAGCCCGTTATTCTATTACTTCCTTAAAATTGCAATAAAATTATCGTTCGTTGTTATTTTCTTCTTTTCTTTGTAGCAGTTGATAACTCTTCAGCTTGTTTTGTAACATATTGATACAATTAATTACTTTTAATCTTTTTATTTCCATTCAATACTTTTTTTTTTTTCAACTTTTTAATGAGAGTAAAACAAAAATTGAATCGTATGAGAATTCGGATTAAATGATATATTTGATATTGTTAGATTGAAACATTTGGATATAGTACTTTTCCCGTAAAATTTAAATGATAGGTTAGTTCAGTAGTTCAGTTTTAAATGGATAAATAGAAAATTTTGATTTTGACTAGGAAGCGATTATTGCTAATGTTGTTGTTGTTATTATTATTATTATTATTTCCATTCATGCATCAGTTGGGACGTGATTCGAGTTATGAATTATTCTCATTTTTGGATGTTATGTCCTTTGTTTTCATTTTTATTGAAGTAATTTATATAGATTAGATAAGTTGTTATTGTCATATAGGTTACGATGAGTGAGAAAATACTTTAGATATGACTTTCAAATATAACTGCGAGACGTTTTTTTTCCTCCTATTATATCTGTTTTCCGTTATGATAGAATAATTATGACGAGAAATTAAAAAGTGCTAGAGAGAGATGGAAAAAATTAGAAGGTAGAGTCTGGCTTGATTTTTTCTTTTTTATAATTTTTGGGATTGGATTTAATGATAGTAATAGTTACACATTTTGTTACCCATTTTTTTTTTCTCCCTCTCTCTCTCTCTCTCTCTTACACCTAACATTTTTGTTAAAATTGCATCTATAGAGTAGGAGATAAAATTTTATGAGAGAATAGTTAGGAAGAGAAAGGTTATTTAGGGTTCGGAAGAACTGTGAACTTCCATTATGATTGTAATCTGGGATGATAATTGAGAGATATGTAAAATTTGTAAGGATTGGAATGTTCAGATGACAAATTAAATAGTACTGGAGTATGGGTTGTTACGAATTTATCGTGTCATAGCATTCTGTATTTGTTATGACTTTTCTTTTTTTTTTTTTTTCAGGATTGGTTTGTCATTGGGTATCGTGGACGGTGTATAAGATCGAGCAAAAAAAAAAAAAAAAAAAAAAAAAATTCGGGTAAGCAGTACGAAGCACTGGATTTATTCGGGTGCACCGGGCTCTGATGAGTCAGGAGCAGGTCATGTGCTAAATAGATGGGGGACGATGATTGGCCATCACAACGATTCCGCGATCATGTTATTAATCGACTGGAACCGGAATTAGCGAGAAATCGTCAAAATGCTCCAAATTTACCTGTACCCGGTGATGCAAGACAGGTTAGTTATTGTTGTTCATAATTTAAATTACAAATATCAAGATTTGACATTCACATAATTTAGGATCTCATTCTCATTCCTTTGGTTATTCTAATTAATTAACTAATCTAACTAATTTAGACTTAGGTTTACACATGAACATTCTGATTAATTAGATTTATATGCTTTTGTTGGATAAAATTAGACATAATTGAATTACATTTTCAATACCTTGCTGCGTGATGTGATACTATTGAAAAATTTGTTTCATTTTTCCAAATTTGTAGTACACTGTTTATTAATAATGTATTTATACAGTGCGTGAAATGAAATAAAAGCACTTTGTAGGTGGAGGAGTATGTTTTCAACAAATGCGTTAGCAAAGATGAGTATATGCGAACGATTGCTAAAGTTATCAATGCAATCAATTGTAACTGTAAGTATTTTGTTTCTGGCATTACAAAATCTGAGATGATCTTAAGTATTTTTCAACATGTTTGTTTAGTTAATATAAAATATGAATAATATAATTGAGAGGGAGCTTAAAAGCTGTTCATAAGAAATCTGAATAATGCTGAGAAAATTTATCATAAGTAAGGAAATTTCAAGGAAATTGTTAAAAAATGTAGGTAGATTTCAGAACTATTAGGGCGCCTGTAGCAGTATTCAGTCGTTTCAGTTAATCTACTTAATTATTAATTAAAATTATTTCACAAATAGGAAAAAAGTTCTATTGAGATAGCAAAATAGATCGTTAGTAGGAATATACAATTTAATTAGAGTTTTGCTATTAAGTTTAAAGGGTACTAGTTAGAGGAGCTTAATCGGTTTGCTTTTTTCAGTAATAGTTTTTTTTTTTTTTCCTTTTATAGCCAAACCATCAGCAGTACCGTCGCTTCTTCAACCGTCTCGCATTCAGTCGGCATCTCAAAACTATCGTAGTGCGGGTCTTGGTATACCACCTGATCCGCAACCCACCCATCAGCAGCACCAGCAAAAGGTTATGGTAAGCATATAGAAGATTAACTTGTGTAATACATACACTTGATAGTTTATTCTCTTTATTACCCTTTCTTTTCAATTAAATAATTTTTTGTTTTATTTGACTGCTACGTTTCTGGTTGTTTATTTTGTCAAAATTTCAGTTGTTGATAAATGTTTCACGTGATGAGAAAAATATAATTAGTATTAAAATAGTATATATTTGAATTAGTTTATAATGCATATATGATACTATTTTTGTATTGACTTTGATATTCAATTTCCTTTTTCCATATGAAACTCATGCTTGCTGCCGAATTTTTGGCTTTTTTTTCTTTCTTTTTTTTTTTCTTTTTTTTTTTTTTTGCAGGATAGGTATCATACTTCACTTTGTCAAACACCGCCAATGATGCAGTCACAGCAATCACCAAGTGGTGCATTGTCTGGCGGTAATATGCAGTTGTCACAATCTAGCTTGCAACAACATTCTCCGGTAACACATCCAGTAGTTCCCCAAGTGCCGTATAATATGCTTTCGCCAATTCCTTCTGTTCCTGGATCACAGAATACCTCTCCTAATCATCAAATGTATAGTCGTGTGAAAACTGAGCAGAAAAGTAGTGGCAATGATGGTGGTGCTGCAGAAATCCCAATATCGGATGCAATGTCTGCTCGTGTATGGAAGCGTGAAGTTCCTCCTCCTGGCAACTATTATTCAGCAGGTATTTGAATTTAAAAATTTTTGATTTTTCAAGATTCTGCATCATACTCTTCATAATATTTTTTTATCTTAGCACGATTTAAAATCATGGCAGTCATGCATGAGTTTCCAAAAAATGTCAACATACGCTCCTCCTTGGCTTATAGTTAAGAAATAATCTATAACAAATTAGCCCTAGCCTTTTTTCAATGAATATACTGTTTGTTGTCTTTTAATTATTGCATAATACATCACCATGGACTTTACAGGTTTCTACGATGCTACAAGTTCCAATCAGTACGTTGAACGTACTCATTCATCGGCACCGTTTATGCCACGAGGAACACCCATTTCTCCTTCACAACAGCTTACTGCTTCACCACATCACCATCACCAGCACCATCAGCAGCATCAACCATCGGTTTTAGAAAATCTTATCAATTCATCCCACTATGGATCGCCGATGCAGTCCTCACAGCATGTCAATGGATCGGGTAATCAAAGCGTTTCAGATTTGCCATTTGGAAATGCCATGCAACAAAATGACGAGGTTAATTACAGAGAATATATGATAGTGAATCTAAAATCTCAGAAAAATATTCAGAACTTTGTTAAATCCAATACATTGTTCATTTTACTCTCTAAAATTTAACGTTTCGTCTTATCGATCAAAATGATTTTTTAGTTAAAGCTTTTTCTTTTGTGACAACATTCAATCTGATATCAATTAACCTATATTGCAGCGTATGTATACCGAGAAGTTACGCTCATTAAGGCCTTATGTTGAAAGTTTAAGAGCACGTGCGCAGCAATGTCGACTGGAAGGCAACGAAATTGCTGCAAGTAAATTTGATACAATGTGCAACGTTCTTGATGGCAAATCGTATGTGTGCTAGTGATTTTATGTTTCATTTGAAATTTAATAATTGAAATTTAATAACATCACTGGATAAATTGTTTAAATGCTTAGTTACGTTGGTTTAACTGTTTTATGCTACGAAAGTTTAGCTGTCATGTTTCTATGAATTCATGTTTCTTGCTTCTTTTATTCAAAAATGAGTAGTAGCAAATGAGTAAAGAATGGTGCTATTAAGCAAGTTATTATTATTTGCAGACGGGTATCATTCGAGTATCTTTTGCAAATAGAAGCATGGATATACAAAAAACAGCAGTTTCTGGTGAGTAATATAGTCTGTATGTTACGTATTGATTTAACAACAAAGTATGTTAGCAGTAGTATCTTGCAGAGAAAAGTTTGTGAGACTCGAAAGTTAAAATTGATTAATCAGTTAAAATATCCTCAAGCAATGCATTCTCCAAATTGCTATAAGCTTCTGTATTATTTTATATAGTGTTCCAGTGACATTCGGTGACTTTTGAAACTGTCTAATTTCTTGCATAAATGACTGCTGTATTGTCTTGACAATGTCAAATTATGAAATTGTTTAGATGGTTCAACGAAATATTTGAAAATTTGCTTTTAGCAGGTTTCATTGAATACTGGAACGTTACAACCACAGCCACTAGTGGATGCGGTAAATGCAGTTTTGTTAATAAACAGTGAAGCACAAGTTGGATACGGTGATCGTGTACAGACAAATACTGGTGTACCATCGGCAGGACAGTGGTCAGTGCAATCCAGTCGATCACAACAGCAAGCATCATCGCAAGGGTTACCTAATATGGTACCATCATCAGTTCCAGTAGCTCATTGTCCAGTGCGAAGTACTCTTATGCAGTCATCAATTCCGTTGCAAACGACTAGTGGTCAACAGGTAGCACGACATTCAATAGAACATACCTATCAACGACATTCACCCTATCCAAATCCAAATGCTGGATTACGTTCCGGTACACAGTCAGTAGTGCTGCATCATGGTTTGTCCAGGGTGGTTAGTATTTTTTGAGCCATAATTCTCTTTAAATGTTAGACAATATGTCTTTCCATTACATGTATCAAATACCATATGTTTATAAATTTTAATATATTTTTATATTCTTAGAGCAATAAAATGTATTGTAAATGTTTTTGAACATGCTTGGAAATTTGATCCTGTATTAATATTTATTAGTTGAAAGAATCACTCTATTAGTTCTAATAGTTTAATTTTTTTTTATATATTTTACATTTTTTTAACCTATAAATTTAAAACATCACAATGCAAATTAAACTTTTGAGATTAAAAATATATAATTTTTTTTATAATGTTTAGCAGCCAGCAGCAACAGTAGCAGCTTTACCACCATTCTCAGAAGCAAATCGTGCACCAGCAACTACTGACTGTAGTAGAGTTGAAGATCTCTATGTAATGGATGATTTCTTACCCACTCCTATAGAAGCTGTATCGAATAACACATCTTCACAGGTTGGTCTTGAAATTGAATTATGTGTTTGAAATATTTTTAAGACAAGTAGAACTTTTATTAGTTTTATCATTAATAAATTATTTGTTGCATAAAAGGATGGTACATAATGCATTAAAATATACCACCAGTTGCTTTTAGATGTCTTGTAAGAAATTTCGAAACGTATCACTGTAGATATTGTGTATTTTGAATTATTTGAGACTTTAAAAGAAACTGTTAGATCATGTTTTACTTATTGCAGATGGAGGGTCTATTGCCGGAAGCGGTACGTCAGGAATTGCTAGCATTTGGAGATCGTATTTTAGCCGATTCTAACATAGAGCAGATGACTGATTCGCATTCTGTTATTGTTAAATTTTCATTAAGTAAGTTCTTTTTTTTTGCTTGTTTGGAAAAATATGTAAATAGCAGCAACATTTTCGATATTATATTTTATTAAATTGAAGAGGTTTATATGAAATAATTTGCAAGCTCTTGAATATTTCAACATTTTTTTTTAGAATTTCAAAAATTTGAATATTGGAGTCCAGTAATATTGTTTTTAAGCCTCACATAATGTGCCACCGCTACAGTTAATTATACCGAAAGCATATCCCAATGGTGAAGTTATGGTGGGTCGTGCTGCACTAGATCTAGGTTTTGTCATTTTATTGTTGTAGAAATTATGGTTTGAATGATTTCATATTTGAGAAAAAAGTCAAATTTCAAAGCTTAATTATAATTATTTGCTCAAGGAAAATATTCGGGAAACATGCCATTTTTTTAAAGTGGAGTTAATTTCTTTTCATTATGGATAGTTGAATTTTTATTTTTGTCAAGAGATATTGATTTTATTATTTTAAAAAATCAGTTCTTTTTAGATTCTTTTTTCTTTGATGATTTGCAAAATGTGATACATGAACGCTTAGCTCGACCGGGTCTACGAACGGTGACAGATTTCCTTGAAACTTGGGTAAGTTTTTCATCTCTGAAACTGTAGATTTTTCAATATTTGAATGCTTTTAAAAACTTTTTGATAGATTTAAGATTTTGAATGACTTAGAGAAGAAACTGCACAAGTATGAAACGATAAATGGATGAATGAAAAAGCACGGGAATAAATGTGAAGCGTAAAAAAATGCATGCATTTAGTTATTGTTGAATTTTAGAGTTGAAATAAGGAATTTAAACATACAATGAGTTTTCAAGTTACGTGGTAAATTAAGATATCTTCCAGAAAATTTAAAACTGGATATTTTGCCGAGATGAAGCAATCATTTTGACCGATAAATAACTTAAGGCATATTCATGAGCTAATAAAATTTAATTTGTCACATTGCTATATATTACTTGTTTGTACTACAAATAGTTTTATATGACATGTAAGATACAAACTTTTGTTAATCTATTTTTTTAAGGAATCGACAGTACGTGGTTACTATTTGGGACAGCAGCAGCAGTCATTGTTACCCAATTCATTTGATGACATATTACAAAATACAAATTTCAGTGATTTCTTGTCGTGAAATATGTCTCTTTTCTGGTATTTTTTTTCTTTAGTTTAATTTCTTGCATCAATTTTAGAACATCATATGGAAATTGTTGCTTAATTGATTGCTGCATTTGCTTTGTTGATTCAAAATATATGAAGAAAAAGTTTGGTTTTGTTTTTTTTTTTTTTTTTTCCTTGTTTCTCAATGACTTATATTTTTTAGAATGAGTTTTGGTTTTTCAAAACTTTCTGTTTTCAAAGTTCTCGAATTTTTATGTACGGTTGTTTTGCCAAATGTGAAAGAGAATTGCTTCATGTTGTCTTGTTAAACTTTTGTCCTCTTTATTTGTTTGTCTTATTTTATTTAATTATTTTTATTCATATAGTGAAATTGGGCTAGCACACAACAGTTGTTAATAGAAAAAAAAAAAAAAAAATACGCGCAAATTTGTCTTATTTCATTTGCTCGTTTATTCCACTTTCCTTCAAATCTGTTAAACTGTTTATTATCACTTGAATTGGGAAACTTTTTGCATATTTCGTATAATTTCGCTTTTTCACTTAATTCATATACTGATCACAGCGTCAACGGCATTGAAAGCAAAATGCAAAGAACGCACCCAGAGTGAAAGCGGTTGATGCAAATAAAGCAGGTCTGGAATTATATATATATATATATTTTTTTTCTTCCAATCTTGAGAAAATGACAGATGAGCTGATAAAGGAAGAGTAAGAAAAGTAACCATGTTGCTTAAGTTTAGGCATATATACTCGAGAGATAACTTTAATTATAGGGTAATCAAAAATTATTGTATCAAATTATGACTCGAAAATTTATTCTAAATGATTCTGTGATATGTGTATATCAACCTTTCTTATACTTTTTTCAAAACTTCGAAAGTGATAAGAAGTTAAGAAATTGAAATTTTTAAACTTACATCCTTATACTTTATTCAAAATTTTTTTAGGTAGAGAATTAATTATTACTATTTGGGAAAGGTGAGAGAGCATTTCGAAAGTGATAAGAATATTAAGAAACCGAAATTTTTAAAAACATACACAACCCATGCTCGCCATCGTTGACAACACTGATTTTCACAGCATGTGTAGTATACATAATCAGTTTCTTCGGGACAGCTGAAATTTCGTTTTCTTCAAGAAATAAAAATAATGGAAGCGTTAGAGTTTGATTAGTTGAGAACTCTAATTACAACTAATGAAAATTGACATAATACTAATTCATATTTTAATATTGTTTTTGGTTCGCGTTATTCTTTTAAATTATGTTATAGCATAATGAATGATTAGCAACAGAACTATAAATAGTTAACTTAGATTTATGGATTAAATTAAATTTATATAAATGATTGAATTGCTGTTAAGAAATGGAATTATCGTTCATCGTTATCATTAAGTTTTTTGTTTTTTTTTTTAAGGAGAGAATCAATTATTACTATTTGGGAAAGATGAGAGAGTAATGAATAGAGGAAACACAAAAAATTCGAAGTGTTTTATTACTATTTTTTTTTTTCTTTAAAAAAATCAATTAAAATTTCACTTCTTTTCTGATAAAAAAAATTTAACTTACTTATGTGGTATACAAATTTCTTGTCGTGGATTGCATGAAATTAAATCGATAATTGTTGCAAAAAATGCCACAAAAAAGAAAATATGATCAAATATTACACAACCTCTATCACTCTTTGATACACTTGAATTCATTTATTCATTTCAAATTAATCCGATATTAGTCAAAAATCGTACTGCAATAATGATGTAATGATAAATGAACCTAAGAAGGAAAAATGTTACAAATAAATGCACCTTCTCTACTTTAAACAATTGATGAAATATTTAAGTACACCGATAGAATGATAATTAAAATGTTAGTCAGCTGACTGTTAATTAGTTAAAATGTTGTAATAAAAGTAATTTGATGTGAAAAGGGGAAAAAAAAAAGGAAAGTGAGGAAGCCATTAATAGATTAAGGAAATGCAAATGCTACTAATAATTGTAATCATATATCTATCATAAAATTTACTTTTATATGATATTTGTGGCAATATTGATTAATTCTATTATCAAAGTTACTATAAAAAATTTTTAGAAGCGAAAATAGATAGGTAGATAAATAGATGAGATTGACCTCTTCTAAGTTAGAGTAATTAGTTAAAATAATTCTATCTAATTAGCGTATTTTTCATTATGCTTAATAAAAGTAGTAATAATAGTAATAGTATGAAGTACTAAAAGTGTCAACAAGTGGATGTCATTAGAGTTTGAGAAATAAAAGAAGAATATTCATTTATTTCTCATCTTACATTCCCCTTCATTAAATATTTACATGCAAAAAATAGTTCATCTAAAATTTAATTTAAAATTGCTTTATATAAGATTCTTATAGAGGAAATTTTTTTTTTTTTCTTCTTTTTCTATATTCAATTAAAAGAAGAAAATAAGGGAAATATTATATTTAGTGTTGATGTTTATTCGATGATTTATACTCATTTAAGGAAGTAATGTATAATAATGCTATTTAATATAAACAATTATTTTAATGCTATGAAATTTTCATCTTCTTTAATTGGAAATTTATGCAAATTTATAAATTAGTTAGCTTTAGATACACATCAAATTCTTTAATTTTTCGAGTCAAATTTCAAAAAAAAAATACTTGAATTATTATTTCTTTCTTCTTTTTTTGTTCCTATTTTTGTTTTGTTTTTTTTTTTTTTTTGCATATTAAGTTTAATTCATCTTAAGCGCTAATCTTTAAAATTATTAGAATAATAAAAAATTTGGAAAAGAGAAATTAATGAATAAGTGTGAAATTATCGTTTTATTATATTTTAATCGATATTGTTAATTGAAATATATAAGAAAGTGTATGTGCAATGCAATATTATTATCATTTTAAATAATTTGTGCTTAACAATGTTTGAAGATTAATAATGATATTATCAAAAAAAAAAAAAGAAAAAACGAGGAAAGGAGAAAAGCTGATATCAGTTGTTATCAACAATGAATGATTTTTTTTTTTTTTCAAACATTATCTATTATTGTTCTTAACAATGAATATCATTTGCGTTACATCAACAAATCTATCAAATATATAATACTTTTAATTTCATTAAAACAACTGTTTTTAAAATATTTGTTACTCTTTCTTCAATCACAGAACAATATTTCAATTACTGAAATTTTTTTTTTTTTAAAGAAATAACAATCATTGGCCTACTATTAATTCATTTTTAAAATGATTCAGCATTTTATGTTCAAATTGATTACTTGCTACTTTTCTAAATTTGGTATAAAAACAAAGTAATATTTCATAGAAATTACTTGATTAATTGTATTTCAATTTTATTTGGTTAATTATGAGTATCTGAGGTTTCTCAAATTTTAATTTACAGCAACTGATATGCACAATTTCAAAAAATAAAATTTAAAGATTTTATATTTAAGAATTTATTTTAAAATTTAAAGATTTTATATTTTTTTTAGATAAAATTTAAAGATTTTATTTCTTTTAACTAAAATTTAAAGATTTTATATCTCTTTTAATAAATAATATTTTGTTAAATTAATTTTATTGTATTGAATAATGAAAATAATGCCCTATGCGGCAAAAAATAAATAAATAAATAAATAAATAAAATGCTGAGATAAGCCAATTCAATATCATCGTATCAATCGTTTTATTGCTTATTTTTTTTTTTTTTTTTTTCTGAAATTTGTTTTTAGAAAAACTAGTTAAATAAATAAATTTAAATAAATTTTCCTTCATTCTCATCTTTCTCCTCTTTATTCTATCATTTTTGCATTAATTGTAGCAATTAAAATAGTTCGTTTCAAGTCTGAACTGTCATTTTAAATTACAAAAGTTTAACGAATTAAAACATTGTGTCAATTCAAACAACTATAAAAATAAATGCGACAGAATGTTTTAATAATTTAACTATGTCACAAATAAATATTTTAAATGAACTAAAACAATTATTTTAATATTTTTTAGGTCAATTACTGAAAAACATTCGCCATATCATACAATTTTAGCAAAAAACTTTTGTAAAACTAATATTTAATTTTCGAAATATGCAAACTTATGCTTTTTTCAAATTACGAACTATTTTGTTGATGTTTTTTAACGAATTACTGAAACTATTCAAATGCATTAAATGTACATAACATCAAAATTTAGGACTATATAGGATTCGTAACATGAATGATGCGAAAAAAAAAAAATAAAGTAATTCTGAATTTATTTTCAAATCTGAAAAAAAGAAGTAATTTTCTTCTTTTTTTCAGATTTGAAAATTTTCAAATTTCATTATTATCTCTCTTCATCATAACCTGACTACACCTTTCCTTTCTTTGAAAAGTTTCATACATTTTTTAGATTATAAGTTCTGCTGAACACAAATGATAAAACTATAAACAATAAATGACAAATTTATTTCTAACTTTTGCATAATCAAATAGCTTTTGAAAACAAATGCATCTCAATAAGAATATTACATTAAAACTGCTGATATATTAATAATAAGTTTTTTTTTTTGTTTTGTTTTGATAATTATAGATCGTACAAGTGAGTATTTAAATTATTATCAAAAGCAATTAAACAGCCAAAAAAAGAACGTAATTTGACGTAACATCTGCTATTACTTAAACGGAATTTGATTTCGTGTTGTTTTCTGAGTTGGAATTGATATCACTTCCGAAGTCCATTTTTTTCCGCTAAATAATGAAAAAGTCGCACGGCGATATGGTTCAAGGGCAAAGATTGTTATGGTTATAATAGCGATCGTTCGCATCTAAAATTATGTGACACTGAAATATTGCGCTGAAAATAAGGAAGGAATTCTGTGAAATGATAATGATGATAATCCAAATTAGTTACCTCATAAGAGTAATATATAATTAAATGAAGTGTTTTTTTGAAATAACTAGCAAGAAAATCGCTTTCGCAACCAGCAGATATACAGAAAACATTTGCGCATGCGTTAACTAAAATGTACTTGTGTTAATCTCAATTTTCAGTAAAAAAAAAATATGATAGAGTAAAAGAAATAGGCTAAGCTATAATTTTATGAACTCGTCATTTCTAATTTAAGATACGATAGTAATTTTGAGGAGAACTGAAAGGACTTCTGGCAAATCTTCTAATCAAATTATAATTTCAGTGAAAATGCATCAATGTTGTGATAAGTTTTTATTTGTTAATAATTAAAGTTTAGCATCTTTAAAATGATATTAGTACAAATGATGAAAACTTACCAAACATAGGCAAAGTGATGAATTCAATGGAATAACTATATAAAATGAATGAATATAAACGCTTCTGTTGCGCTTTTGCAACTCGAATACAATTAACGCCCAATGGCTTATATCTGCTTACTTTAATTGATCCCTGCAATAATGAAGTGATCATTGTTGCAGGGATCAATGATAATTTCATTTAAAGTTATCATTGAGTTTGGAGAAGTGTGTGATAGTTAAAATGAAATACCTGGAGTTACCTGGAAAATTACATTCTCAAATACTTCTGCACTGTTTACTGTTTAATCGTGATTGGTTCAGGAATGATCCATTCTATGGAATATAATTATTTTGACGGAATTTCTTATAATTTCAAAATTTATAAAATTTTACTGTTAGAGCAGCAATGAATAATGAAATAAACAATGTGATATGTGTTAGAAAATAAGGTATACGATATATGGACTCTGTAAATAGATAAGTTACAGAAGTACTCCAAATAAGAATTGAAGTATGTAATGCAACATAGTATGGTTTTTGACTCCTGAAAATAGAGAAAAGATAATAAACCATCAATAATTTCAATTCAGATCCAGAAAATACATTTCAGTAGGAAAAACCAAATGGAATTTTGTGCGGAAAAAAAAAGTAGCAAATTAAAATGAAATAGCTTCCATATCACACTTCAAATGAAAGCTTTACTTTTGAGATAGTGAAATTTCCCACTAAAAAAAATAAATAATTTTCCATCAAAAAAAGTTAAAAATAAATTGCCAAAGAAGTAAAAGTAAAAGAATTGAAGAATAATGAAAAATACTTACCTATTAGTAAATTTCTTTGAATAAAAAAAAGGTTTCACGTAGGGTAAGTAACAAATTATGACTGCATAGAGTGTTAAGGCATGAAACCAAATGCTTCCTAATTTGACATAAAATCGCATCCATTCTCGAATTTCAAATCTAAAAATGCAACGATTGCTTTATAAGTTGATCAAATTGTCAGATCATGAAATTCCAATATCGATCATTTTAATACAAAATAGATCTGATTTTTTTGAATTGTGAAAAAAATGTGAGAAATTTGATCTTTTTCTATTCATCCTTATGTAGGTATTAATTTTACATCAGTACTTTATTATCCCAAACACTTTATTATTGCAAACTGAAACTAAAGAGACACTTGTGACAATCTAAATGAATTGAAAATGAATCGAAATGAATTGAAAGCGAAACTTACAAATGTAATTTGCTTTCTGTAATAGAAATAAATAGTTTTGCAACATTAATTGCATCAATTATAGAAGCAGCAATAGCCGATGTTACGCAAACAATCATTAAATTCAGTGTGAAATATTTGAAAAATCCATCTTTCACTTTTGTAAATATTAAAAACAATATGAAAGGAATAATAATAACATTACCAACTGTTGCAAGACACGCTACCACGTGGCGTCTGTTGTATAA